AACTAAAAAAGCGTTGGTAGAGAAAAACAGATAAATACATAAACGATTGCTGCTTAATATGGACACATGATCGAAAGCCCACATAAAGGCAAGGGAGAAAGAGAAATTGATGGCGATTATAAACAAAAGCACAATACCAAATGATTTGACAATTATTCACAAGGTCATGGTCTTTATCAAAATGAGTATATATACCTGCAATGAACCACCATCTTTCCTGTTAAGGCATTCTGATAATTCTTCACGCGACGATGGAATACAACAAGTTCATTAGGGTCCGGTGTCCCATGGTCGGGCCACGTGGTGTAATGGAATTGATGTACTTGTCGTACGGTCTTCGTCTGATTAGATAAGTAGAAGTTCATTATAAAATAATACTAAACGACAAAGGTATTGATTTCATCAAAGAATATTTATTTCGTGTTTAATATCACCACCGTATATACCTATATAAGGGCAATCAAGTTATAAATTATTTAATTTTTATAACACCGACATGACAAAGTTTCTAATCCTAAAATAATATATGATGTTATTTTTTTATTCATTACTCTCGTTGGTTCAAGTGGAAGCGCAACAAAGGTCTAGCTGTAATAGAAAATCGAACTACTCGAAAGAAAATATATGGCCGGACAGGTGAAAAGCACATGCATTATTACCACACTACCCGAGCACCCGCTGATAAAAATAAACAAAGCAGAAGGATACGGTCGAATAGTCAGTTAAGTTAAAACAGCATAATCACTACACCTTCTTTTCAGTTACTGTAAGATCCCGGATGACATAAAAGGCATAAGATCGTTCCCTATCCAGGATGATGTTGAAATGTGTAGTTGACATTGGTTCTCCCTCATCTGGCCAGTATTTATCACATTTAGGCTGAAATTTCGATAAAACACAAAAAAAAACATGATAGCCATTGAAAAAAACATTATTGTTTGAAAACAATTTTGCAGTAATGTTTATTGGAGGTTTGACATAACATTATTTTTATATTTCTTCAGAATTACACATTCGAAGCTACTCAAATTTTCACTTATTTCATTCTTATGTTTCTGTATGATTTTAAAATGTTGCTTTGAAGTTCAACAGTACCGTAGTATATTTTGTTATTTTAAACGAAATGTTTTACCTTTGCTCCTTCTACCAGATTGGTCAACATGACAATTTTGCCAGTCCTAAGTTGCCAGATCATACGCCAAAAGTCGTTAACAGTTCCAGGCCTTGGACCTGTTCAATATAATTATTATTGAATTGAATATGTAAACATTTGAATAGTTCAGTTAGGATAAATAATATTTTCGCCTTGTATTTTATAATTATTCTGTATTTTTGACATATCAAAGTACAGCAAAAACTAGACATGTGACTTACAGGTTGAATGTTGACAGCCACTAATAGCGGTGTCATCACGGTCAAGCCATTGGTGGCATTGATATGGAACCGTTGACGTGCTAAAGTTTTGGGGTCACATTAAAGTAAAGCCAAACAAAATCTTTCCTTTTTTCTAAGTTTTTCTTCAAATTTATATAAAGGCAGCAGAGTTGAAAGTGTTGATAAGATAATTAGTGTGAAAAGGCGTTTTGCAACTTTCCTACCTTGTGTAGCGACATATTCTGCAGTTTTTGTGGCGCTCTGTAACATAAAATATTTTAAATTCTAATACACAATTTCATGCATAGGTGACAACGAATTATTGCTGCGGACAAATTCAAATATACACTTCTCCATACGTTTGGAACCACCAAGTCTAATATGAAAATTTTGATAAAAACTTATTTATCTTTGCAGAAGTAGGTCTTGTTGAACACCTTGAGTACCTTTTGTACTGGATGCCGCATGATAAACCTAACGATAACCTGGATTTAAATTCCAGCAAATAACTGTTATTGGTAAATCATACCTGTGATCGTATTGTATTGAAAACTGGCACATCGTAGATTGACATATGTTGAAAATGGCAAGCGTATGGACAGGTTCAAGACCGTAAGACATACGGACAAGAAGTTGCATGTTTTAATGTTGGGTTGGCCATTATGTTATATCATGTTGATGCATGGCTGTATGTATCTTGAAGGGTGGATTTAGCATCAGGATCGAGAAACACTGGCATATGTTGTTTTGTTTTTTTGTTTTTTGTTTTTTTTAATTTTAATAATAATTGAACTATATGGGATCGAATGGATTAACCAGCTCTGAAGGTTTATCCATTTCCTGGCATAGTTTTCGACGGAATCCGTAAGCATGTTGCAATTCATATTTCAATTAATGGACGGGGTTTCAAGATGCTTTAACCCTTCTAAAACTCTCGTAGCTTAACATTTTGTATAAGTCTAAGTCGTCAAGTGCGGTGTGTCTGATAGGGCACTAGTTATAAGTAGATGTAGAATAAAAATAAGCTGACGGAAAGTGGTTCTTATATCAACTTAATCAGTTGCAGTTGAAATGTAATGATACAATGGCTTTAGAATAACTACGAAATTAAAGGTGTATTTCTGAATTGAAAGTGTGTAAGAAAGATAGCTTGAACGAATTTATGGCGTAAAATGTTGCTAATGTTAATAGTATCCACTCACTCAATAGTAAGAGACGACACAACTTGTGTATAGCTTGTAATAGAAGTGAGGTGTTTTACCTGATGTTGGCATTCTATTCACATAAAAAGTTGATGAGTCAATCTTTCTGATCAATTAACTTTTGGTAATTTGATGACTTTTCTGCTAATATGAAACAGTTAAAGTCAATATTTTTTCTAGATTTTGGTAATGCCTTTTTAAACACGTGTGTTGATACAGGACTTACGGTTCCATAAATGTCTATTCCTGTCGATTGTGTATAGTTTCGTTGACAATTTGAAAAAAAAATCCTATATATCCTGTAAAGTTGTCATTGAAAATGTTCCTTGAAAACAAACCTAGGCCCTAATTTTAGATAAGAGTGGTCCCTAATGACCAACTGTATATACGAGATCATAAACAAGCGAAAACCCGTAAAATGGTTTTGTTTCCATTATCAATGTCTAGATGACTTTGAAAACAAATTATACTTACATCAATATAATTGGCATTGATATAGTCTGAGTGCGGGTCGTTCCCAACTGTGCCAAGGATTACACGAGAATGGTCATCTGTTGAAGAAGAATAAAATGAATATCATTATATTAGTTAGATTTATCTAGATGACTAGAAGGAATGAATATGTACAATACAAAACTTAGATATTTTTCATATTTATTTGAAAGCAATAATTCATATCGTTCTACTAATCTAAGATCCAAGTATATACTCGTGCACTTTCTTTTCTTTGTCTTTTGGATAACAAACATGAGATACTCACAGGGAAACGTGGTCTTAAATCGATTTTTGGCTTTGTTTTGTTGAAGCATTCCAATTTTATGCTCATGTAAAGCTCCATATGGTATAGACTACAATGAACATGATATATATATCATATATGGATAGTGAATTGATATATAAAAATAGAAACGACATGCAAACAGAATCTTAATTCAGATTCGATGAAACTAGTGCAAAATATCATCAAAAGACAAATAAGGTGTTCTTGCGTCACTGACGACATCCAAACTAAGTAAGTGTCGTCATTTTCCCAACAATTCAAAATCTCAATGAAATCATTAAAAAAAATACGATTTTATCAGTCACCAACACCTTCCAAGAAAATTGTGATATTGGGAACAGGGGATTCAATATCGAATAAATTACGACACCGTAAGTTGAAAACGTAGAGCTGTTGCTATCCCGAAATGGACAATTCATTGTAGGAATTGAACTCATGACGCTTATCATACAACTTGGTGGAAAGTTGGATCGAGGTGTCGTGTTCTTTATTTTATATTTATATTTTATAGTTAAAGTTAGTTAGAAAAGAAAATAGCTTGAACATAAATAAAAAAGTAAAACGTACTTTAATTATTTGGTGCATTATAAATTATGTAATGTGATAAAAAATAGACAATTGATTACATATAAATGTGATCAGACATAAATACTTTTAATAAAGAGCATACCTTGTATTCAATCTCGAAGGCTTTTGACTTGTTTTTCATCTTAGCAATTACTAAAGACTTGAGGTCAGAAACAGGAAATCCAACAGGACCGGAATTGTAGTAGACGTTATCTCCAATGTCTGATTTCCTAGACACATTTTCAGCATTGACGTATACGTTGGCGGAGTCGTTTGGTAGTTCGTCTGGTTTTTCGTCAGGCACTGCATTAAGGTTCAACATACAAGGTATGTATATGTGTGTATGCGAGGGTTCATTGTGTTTTATTTAGAGCAAACAACAGTTTATTATTTATCAATAGTTTCAACTTAATGTATAGAGTGTGATACCGTTACTCAAAATACAGACAAAATCTTATAGCTTGGAAATATGGCAAGTAAGATTTTGCTATTTAGCAGAAAGGAAATTGTCTCCCTTTTGCTGTCCTAGGTGAAACTAAAAAATGTTCATCATATGCTATACATGTAAATCAATAAATGATAACATTTTGAAAGTTAGTAAATCGTGACTATGATTGATTATTTCAATACCCAGCGGGTAACCTGCTGAAATACATTATACAAATAAGTTTAAAGTACTCTGCCAAGGGAAAAACATATCACCTAAAGCATTGCTATAGACGTTTCTTTCAGCGATACCACTGTCAGCATGCGAGTCTACTCGCTCTAATGGTTGGTCGTACACATTCCCATCGTAGTCTTTGTGATGACCTATATCATCGAAGGAGTCTTGTTTACTGGCACTCAGTCGCCGTCTATATATAGAAGGTGAGTAATTGTAAAACATGAATCATATCAAGATCAGAAATATCTTGAATTTACCAGTTTCATAGAAAAAAACCGACAATGATGGAATAGTCGAAAAAGAGTGATTGTCTTCACATTTTGTTAAACGCTTGAAAGTATTAAAATGAATACAATGAATTACACAATGAATATTTTTATCTCCATTTTTGACATGTTTCATGAGGTTAATACTAAACTGCATTTTCTAATACGATTCTTTATCTGAAAAATATATATATCTTTTGTTTGCAAATTCAGATAAGTCGTGAACAAGATACAAATTAATTTGGAAGTAAAAAAAGAGCACAGTTCGATGATATCTTTGCTTGTTTTAACAATTGCACTTGGAAATTCAAAGTAGAGAAAATAATAAGACTTTCATTTGATTTAGTGAGGTCGTTTAACATATAATTATGTTTTTGTTGAATAACCACGGTGGAATTACCTCCTGATGATGACAACTATGACCGCGGCGATGACAAGGACGACAACCACGCCTACTAAAGCTCCGACTATTGACCCTGTGTCTACCGCTCCAGGAGTATCTGACCTCTGATCTTGTCCTGGCGAAAAGGGAAAAGCATCAATGGTACATATATAACTTCTTGGCATATTTTCTCTCTATCTGATTAGCATGATGGAAGATATACCGACACGACAACACTAAACTCAACGAATCATTTTATTGCTTCAAAATACTTCAATGTTTTGAATGTTCGTTTTGTGATATTTGTTTTCCTATGCACGGAATTAAGATTCATTATCAGTATATGTTGAAACATGTAGACGATTGTTAAGACTTTATCAGCCAAAGCAGCAGACAGAAATAGCATATATTCCGAGAAAATGAACTGCCACCTTTCTATTTTATAAAGCAAAATTGGCACGTAGATATCACGACTAAATATTGCTGGCAACTTATATTAAATATTTGGTCATGATGTCAAAGAACGCAGTTTTAAACAACAACAACCAGGAAGGTACCGACATCTCAGCTTAATCTTAAATCAAACTCAAATTTGATGGAATAAAGGCAAAATATGATAAAGGAAAGATCTACACGGAGAAAAGTACGAGAAAAATAAGACAAGGGTTAAAAAAGTAAGCGACCTCTGCCGCATTATGTAAGTCTTGGTGAATGCAAGCAAATACTGTTACGTTTTCGAATGAGAACAAGTTACAGAACAATGAACCACTAGGCATACTAACGAGCATCAGCACGTAAAGCTCCATATAGCACCAAGAGGTGGAATATATCTAAATGCGATCATTATGACGACCGTAAAACTTTCTCATATTCTTCATGGTACTGTATTTATTGAAACCTTGTGTCGCGAATTTGTATGTTGTTTGTCAGTTGCTTAGTTCTTTCATGAAATTCTTGACCCACTGGGTGCATGGTGTCGCTATCCCGGAGGAGAAAATTTACACCCGGAATATTAATAATATATTGCTTAAAATACAAATTTGTAGAAAGCTGTCCATGTTGATTTCATTGTAGGAAAAGATATATATTTCAATTTACATATTCAAAGTAAAAAAATTCTTAGATAAGCAATCGTAGTTAAATATTAAAACTGTGTATTATACAGATCAAACTTCTTCATTTCTACCATGTACGAAAAGTACGAAAATTACTTGTTTCACAGTAAGGTCCTTGGTATCCAGGATCACATTCATCCACACACAGACCAGTGTCTTTTTTACAACTACTACAGTGGCCACACGACGTGTTGCAACTCATTCCGTAGAGACCCGGCTTGCATTCTTTTGAGAAACGAAACAAGTAAAGGTGTATATTGCTAGAATATAGAAAGCAGATCAATAACTCTAACCAATACTAAACTTTGTGCAAAGTTAATCAAATACTCAATTGCATTTCATAGAAGGTTTACTGGCAGTACTTACTTGTACATTCACCGTTTTGTTGATAACACTCGGAACAATTGCTGTTGCAGGGCATTGAACAGTTTGTCCCATAAAGTCCATCAACGCATCCTGTTATTGAAATAATTTCATTAACCTATTAACAGTGGTTCCATAACAAGTTATAAAGAAATCTGCTTTAACAGTTTGATAAACAATAACGCTTCTGTCTTACATCTGATATAAATAAAGATAAAGACACAAAAATGATTTATTTGACTTCCCGTAAATCATTCCGAGGAAAAAGTTTAGATATCAAGGCGACTTCAATTTACCTGTCAACCTTGATTTTCATGCTGTCATGATAAAATGTCAATTGTGTTCTTTTGGGGGGATTGTTTTTCTCAATATATGTTTTCACATATGCTATTCACATTCTTGGACATGCACCCATGAATGTAGTTTTACGATATAATTTAAGTAGAGGAAGAATAATAATGGATTATTTTCTAATAATAGCTCTTTACTTTTTCTTATTCATTAAATTTACTTCATGCTTCAACAAATACAGTATCAAGCTATCCAAACAAATGAAATTGTCGCTTTAAACTCAAGGGAAACATATACACATTTAAATTTTAAAATTGCATTTTTTCCTTATTTATATTCCCATTAGATGATTCCGTTTTCACTTTTCATTTTATGATTTTTCACAAAATTTCCCCTAGTGTTATAACGTCCAGGCAGCAATTACGAACCTCTATACATTACAAGGCAGCCGATTTCTCCGATTGAATCACGTGGCCATATGACGTATATGAAATCATTTATGGATGCAATTGGTCACCGAAACATAATATACCATCAAAAATGAAAAAAATACAAATGCCGTAAGAAAATCTACTGAAGGTAATATACGGAATTACATTATAAAATTAACTCTTATGGCGGATTCTATTTTTCTATGTACGAGGTAAAATTATTTCTACAACGAATGAAAATCTCGAAAGGTATCTGATATGTCTGTTTACATGTACACCAGTTTCTTGATGTAGTATGCCATGTTTGAAAAGTGTGCACCTTTAACTCTTAACTCGGTTATTTACCATACGAATACTTGTGTTTTGTTGTCGCAAGCCATAACTATAGATAGGTTATAAGTTCAGAGCCAGGTCTGCTAGGTTAGGGAATATTACCATATTATTTGACGTTAGATAACTAAAATGTCACGTCTGACAACAAGACTGTGACACTTTGTATCAGCCATTTTACACAAAATCCTATCTATTTGCACTGTTCTCTTGGGAATTGCCAACAAATTGTATTAAGATATCCATTTTAAAACACATGCTGTGTACATATTATATATGTCATGAAAACTATTTATTTTACACTAGCCATATTTTTCAACCACCAAGAAAACGACGTATTTTGATGCTGTGAACACAAAATATCATTCTTTTTAATTAAATGCAAACAGTTTCATTATCACCGGAAACATTATCATTGCTAGAGTTTATATGATATACTATGTCTTATATCCTCAGTGACGTTGTAGGCTTTTGTCCTAATGATATTGTCTAATATAAGCAAAATTCATTCACTCACCTAAACAAGTTCCGTTGGCATTCTCACACAAGCTATTCTTACAGTTTGCTGAACAGTCTTGATCACATGTATCGCCATACTTTCCAGGAACACAACCTGAGACATAAAAATTATCTCCAATCACCTAAAGAATTTGGGTTTCTTTGTATTATTTTTATTTCATTATACGTATGGCAATTACATTGTGTTTCTGATCATGAGTTATATTCATAAATCACGTCAAAAACCCGATAGAAACAATAAGATTTCCCGGATAAATGGAGACTGCACCAAATCCAACATTAATTAGAATGACCATCTACATTTCTCTTATCCGGAAGTTGATAACCACGTGACTAAAGGGAATATATGCATTGCAGTTAAATAATATCATTTTATTAAACTATTGCAACTTCTTTTTGATAATTCATTTTTAGTCATTAATCACCAAACGAACATCTGTGTAAGTCGATTTCAATGTCAAAATTAGACCACATAATACATTACTCACCAATACAGTATCCATTGGATTTCATGCACAAGTTATTATTACAGTCTGCAGAACAGTCTTGGTCACATGTATCGCCATACTTTCCAGGAATACATTCTGATAACACAGAAACATCTTTCATATTTCTATATCTAATTAGTTACAGCGGCACTTGGTTTCTTCACATGATTTATGTCAACAGGAAGTAGTTGCTGCTAAAGGAAAACTTTCTTATTCATTTTGAATTGGTGTTGTAGGTGTTTGGGAGTGATGTAGGAGAGATAACAGTGGTTCCCAATAAATGGTCGTTATTGTTCCTCGCATGGTCGTCACAAATATCATAAAAACAATAACAGAATGCACATTTATTATTTCTTCCTAGAAAATGGTTATACGTTTGATTGATTTAAAAACCTGAGAAGGTATGATAATGTTTACAATAAATATAAATGAGATAGAAACATATTCTGGAAACTGAGCAGTGGAAAATACACGTAACAATTCTGGACATGTGATATAGTTTGCGGGCATAATCTACCGAAGCTGAAAAAACACAGTGAAAACATAATCTGATGAAAATTCAGACATGAGACATATTTGTCGACAACACCGTCAGCATTGCCTAAGGCTGATAAGATCAAAAGTTCTGCTATATAGGAATTGGCAGTTCTGCAGTACCACATCCCTCATTTAGGTTTACATAGATCTGCCTTAAGCTTGTGGTACCATAACTATATTGATGAGGTTGTGGATTACCTTAGGTATTTAAAAGTGTTTTTTGGTATGATACATAAATAATATCTAACGGTTTCCCACTTAACTATCTAATATTTGTGTATAATTTCGTAATATATTTGTACGATGAAAATCAGTCTATTTTCTTTGATAACCTTTTTACTGAGAAATCATACCAAAACGTCGACCCTAATAAAGCCAACCGTGGTCTGAAGAAAGGCCAAAGAAAATATTACCATATTATTTGACGTCAGATAACTAAAACGTCACGGCTGACAGCAAGAATGTGATATATTGTATCAGCCATTTTACACAAAATCCTATTGAATAACACTGATTTTGTAGGAATTGCCAACAAATTGTATGAAGGTATCCGTATTAAAAAAACAAGCTGTGAACACATTAAATATGTCATGAAAACTACATTTAGTCATCACATGCCATATGTTCCTGCTAACAAGAAAAAAGTGCGTTTTGATAATGTGAATACAAACACCTCATTCTATCTAACCAAATGAAAACAGTTTCATTATCACTGGAAACATTGTAATTGCTAGTGTTTATATGATATACGATGTCTTATATCCTCATTGCAGTGATGCTTTAGGCTTTGATCCGAATGATAATCTCTAATGTAAAAAACATTTATCCACTCACCAATACAATTTCCATTGGCCCTGACAGAAACAATCAGATTTCTCTGATAAATTGAGACTTCGCCAAATTCCCATTTATCAGAATGACCATCTCCATTCTCTCATCCAGAAGTTGATAACCACGTGACTAAAGGGAATCTATGCATTGCGGTCTAATGTTATTGTATTATTAAACTATTGCAACTTCTTTTTGATAATTCATTTTTAGTCATTAATCACCAAACGAACATCTGTGTAAGTCGATTTCAATGTCAAAATTAGACCACATAATACATTACTCACCAATACAGTATCCGTTCGACTTCATGCACAAGTTATTATTACAGTGCGCAGAACAGTCTTGGTCACATGTATCGCCATACTTTCCAGGAACGCATTCTGATAACACAGAAATATACTCCATATTTCAATATCTAAAACGTTACAAACATTCTTGATTTCTTGACATGAATTATGTCAATAGAAATGTTGTTATTTCCTTGTAATTGTTAACAGAAAACTTTCGTATTCGTTTTGAATTGATTTTGACTAATTACTGTCATTCCGTGATAAATCGTTGTTATTGTTCCTCGCATGGTCGTAGCAAATATTGTAACAAGATTAATAAAATGTATTTTCATGGAACATATTTATTTACAATGAGATGAAAACGTATGCCTTTATATATCAGTTTTATTGATGAGGTAGTGAATTAACTTTGGTACTTAAAAGCGTTTTTTGGTAAGATGTATAGATAATATTTAATGATTTCCCACTTAGATATATGATATCTGTGTATACTTTCGTACTATATTTGTACGATGAAAACTGATATATTTTCCTTGATAACCTTTTTGAAGAGAAATCATACCAAAACGTCGAAGAAAGGCCAAAGGGAATATCACCATATTATTTGACGTCAGATAACTAAAATGTCACGTCTGACAACAAGACTGTGACATATTGTATCAGTCATTTTACCCAAAATCCTATTGATTTACACTAATATCATAGGAATTGCCGACAAATTGTATTAAGATATTCATTTTAAAAAGCATGCTACGTACACATTAAACATGTCATGAAAACTACATTTATTTTACGCTAGCCATATTTTCCGGCCAACAATGAAAAACGTATTTTGGTGCTGTGAATACAACAATGTCAATCTATTTAACCAAATGAAAGCAGTTTCATTATCACTGGAAACATTGCTAGTGTTTATGTGATATACGATGTCTTATATCCTCATTGTAGTGATGCTTTAGGCTTTTATCCGAATGATGTTTTCTAATGTAAGCAACATTTATCCACTCACCAAAACAATTTCCGTTGGCCTTCTCACACAAGCTATCATTACAGTAAACTGAACAGTGTTGATCACATAAATCGCCATACTTTCCACGAACACAACCTGAGAACATAGAAAATATCCCTTATTACCTTAGGATTTTGTATCATTTTATCATTATTTCAACATAAGTGAAGGCATAATATTGTGTTTCTGGTCATGAATTATATGCATATGTCACGTCAAAATCCTGACAGAAACAATAAGATTTCTCTGATTTGGAGACTTCGCCCACTTCCCATTAATTAGAATGACCATCTACATTCTCTCATCCAGAAGTTGATAACCACGTGACTAAAGGGAATCTGTGCATTGCGGTCTAATGTTATTGTTTTATTATACTAATGCAACTTCTTTTTGATAATTCATTTTTAGTCATTAATCACCAAACGAACATCTGTGTAAATCGATTTCAATGTCAAAATTAGACCACATAATACATTACTCACCGATACAGTATCCGTTGGACTTCATGCACAAGTTATTATTACAGTACGCAGAACAGTCTTGGTCACATGTAACGCCATACTTTCCGGGAATACATTCTGAAAACACAGAAATATACTCCATATTTCAATATCTAAAACGTTACAAACATTCTTGATTTCTTGACATGAATAATGTCAATAGAATTGTTGTTATTTCCTTGTAATTGTTAACAGAAAACTTTCGTATTCGTTTTGAATTGATTTTGACTAATTACTGTCATTCCGTGATAAATCGTTGTTATTGTTCCTCGCATGGTCGTAGCAAATATTGTAACAAGATTAATAAAATGTATTTTCATGGAACATATTTATTTACAATGAGATGAAAACGTATGCCTTTATATATCAGTTTTATTGATGAGGTAGTGAATTAACTTTGGTACTTAAAAGCGTTTTTTGGTAAGATGTATAGATAATATTTAATGATTTCCCACTTAGATATATAATATCTGTGTATACTTTCGTACTATATTTGTACGATGAAAACTGATATATTTTCCTTGATAACCTTTTTGAAGAGAAATCATACCAAAACGTAAAGGCCAAAGGGAATATCACCATATTATTTGACGTCAGATAACTAAAATGTCACGTCTGACAACAAGACTGTGACATATTGTATCAGTCATTTTACCCAAAATCCTATTGATTTACACTAATATCATAGGAATTGCCGACAAATTGTATTAAGATATTCATTTTAAAAAGCATGCTACGTACACATTAAACATGTCATGAAAACTACATTTATTTTACGCTAGCCATATTTTCCGGCCAACAATGAAAAACGTATTTTGGTGCTGTGAATACAACAATGTCAATCTATTTAACCAAATGAAAGCAGTTTCATTATCACTGGAAACATTGCTAGTGTTTATGTGATATACGATGTCTTATATCCTCATTGTAGTGATGCTTTAGGCTTTTATCCGAATGATGTTTTCTAATGTAAGCAACATTTATCCACTCACCAAAACAATTTCCGTTGGCCCTCTCACACAAGCTATCATTACAGTTATCTGAACAGTCTTGATCACATAAATCGCCATACTTTCCACGAACACAACCTGAGAACATAGAAAATATCCCTTATTACCTTAGGATTTTGTATCATTTTATCATTATTTCAACATAAGTGAAGGCATAATATTGTGTTTCTGGTCATGAATTATATGCATATGTCACGTCAAAATCCTGACAGAAACAATAAGATTTCTCTGATTTGGAGACTTCGCCCACTTCCCATTAATTAGAATGACCATCTACATTCTCTCATCCAGAAGTTGATAACCACGTGACTAAAGGGAATCTGTGCATTGCGGTCTAATGTTATTGTTTTATTATACTAATGCAACTTCTTTTTGATAATTCATTTTTAGTCATTAATCACCAAACGAACATCTGTGTAAATCGATTTCAATGTCAAAATTAGACCACATAATACATTACTCACCGATACAGTATCCGTTGGACTTCATGCACAAGTTATTATTACAGTACGCAGAACAGTCTTGGTCACATGTAACGCCATACTTTCCGGGAATACATTCTGAAAACACAGAAATATACTCCATATTTCAATATCTAAAACGTTACAAACATTCTTGATTTCTTGACATGAATAATGTCAATAGAATTGTTGTTATTTCCTTGTAATTGTTAACAGAAAACTTTCGTATTCGTTTTGAATTGATTTTGACTAATTACTGTCATTCCGTGATAAATCGTTGTTATTGTTCCTCGCATGGTCGTAGCAAATATTGTAACAAGATTAATAAAATGTATTTTCATGGAACATATTTATTTACAATGAGATGAAAACGTATGCCTTTTTATATCAGTTATATTGATGAGGTTGTGAATTACCTTTGGTACTTAAAAGCGTTTTTGTGGTATGATATATAGATAATATTTAATGATTTCCCACTTAGATATATAATATCTGTGTATACTTTCGTACTATATTTGTACGATGAAAACTGATATATTTTCCTTGATAACCTTTTTGAAGAGAAATCATACCAAAACGTCGAAGAGGTCTGAAGAAAGACCAAAGGGAATATCACCATATTATTTGACGTCAGATAACTAAAATGTCACGTCTGACAACAAGACTGTGACATATTGTATCAGTCATTTTACCCAAAATCCTATTGATTTACACTAATATCATAGGAATTGCCGACAAATTGTATTAAGATATTCATTTTAAAAAGCATGCTACGTACACATTAAACATGTCATGAAAACTACATTTATTTTACGCTAGCCATATTTTCCGGCCAACAAGGAAAAACGTATTTTGGTGTTGTGAATACAAAAATGTCAATCTATTTAACCAAATGAAAGCAGTTTCATTATCACTGGAAACATTGCTAGTGTTTATGTGATATACGATGTCTTATATCCTCATTGTAGTGATGCTTTAGGCTTTTATCCGAATGATGTTTTCTAATGTAAGCAACATTTATCCACTCACCAAAACAATTTCCGTTGGCCCTCTCACACAAGCTATCATTACAGTTATCTGAACAGTCTTGATCACATAAATCGCCATACTTTCCACGAACACAACCAGAGAACATAGAAAATATCCCTTATTACCTAAGGATTTTGTATCTTTTTATCATTATTTCAACATAAGTAAAGGCATAATATTGTGTTTCTGGTCATGAATTATATTCATATGTCACGTCAAAAACCTGACAGAAACAATAAGATTTCTCTGATTTGGAGACTTCGCCAAATTCCCATTAATTAGAATGACCATCTACATTCTCTCATCCAGAAGTTGATAACCACGTGACTAAAGGGAATCTGTGCATTGCGGTCTAATGTTATTGTTTTATTATACTAATGCAACTTCTTTTTGATAATTCATTTTTAGTCATTAATCACCAAACGAACATCTGTGTAAATCGATTTCAATGTCAAAATTAGACCACATAATACATTACTCACCAATACAGTATCCGTTGGACTTCATGCACAAGTTATTATTACAGTACGCAGAACAGTCTTGGTCACATGTATCGCCATACTTTCCAGGAATACATTCTGAAAACACAGAAATATACTCCATATTTCAATATCTAAAACGTTACAAACATTCTTGATTTCTTGATATGAATAATGTCAATAGAAATGTTGTTATTTCCTTGTAATTGTTAACAGAAAACTTTCGTATTCGTTTTGAATTGATTTTGACTAATTACTGTCATTCCGTGATAAATCGTTGTTATTGTTCCTCGCATAGCAAATATTGTAACAAGATTAATAAAATGTATTTTCATGGAACATAATTTACAATGAGATGAAAACGTATGCCTTTATATATCAGTTTTATTGATGAGGTAGTGAATTAACTTTGGTAAGATATATAGATAATATTTAATGATTTCACTTGATATATAATATCTGTGTATATTTACTATATTTGTACGATGAAAACGATATATTTTCCTTGATAACCTTTTTGAAGAGAAATCATACCAAAACGTCGAAGAAAAGGGAATATCACCATATTATTTGACGTCAATAACTAAAATGTCACGTCTGACAACAAGACTGTGACATAAGTCATCTTACCCAAAATCCTTTTGATTTACACTAATCTTATTTGTAAGATATTCACTGTACATATTAAACATGTCATGAAAATATATATTTTATAATATCCGGCCAACAATAAAAAACGTATTTTGGTGCTGTGAATACAAAAATGTCATTCTATTTAACCAAATGAAAACAGATTTCCTGAAACATTGTCATTTTATTTAACTATAACTTCTTTTTATATAATCTGTCGCTTTAAATTTCAAAATTAGACCACATAATACATTACTCACCAATACAGTATCCGTTCGACTTCATGCACAAGTTATTATTACAATGCGCAGAACAGTCTTGGTCACATGTATCGCCATACTTTCCAGGAACGCATTCTGATAACACAGAAATATACTCCATATTTCAATATCTAAAAAGTTACAAACATTCTTAAGACATGAATTATCATGTTGTTATTTCCTTGTAATTGTTAACAGAAAACTTTCGTATTCATTTTGAATTGATTTTGAATGATAACTGTCATTCCGTGGTAATGTTATTGTTCCTCGCATGGACGTAGCAAATATTGTAATAAAATTAATAAAATGTATTTTCATGGAACATATTTATTTACAATGAGATGAAAACGTATGCCGTTTTTGATATCAGTTTTATTGATGAGGTTGTGAATTACCTTTGGTACTTAATAGCGTTTTGTGGTATGATATATAGATAAGGTTTAATGGTTTCCCACTTAAATATCTTATATTTGTGTATACTTCCGTACTATATATGTACGATGAAATTTAATCTATTTTCTTTGATAACCTTTTTGAAGAGAAATCATACCAAAACGTCGACCCTAATAAAGCCGATCGTGGTCTGAAGAAAGGCCAGAGGAAATATCACTATATTTTCTGACGTCAGATAACAAGACATTTTGTATCGGCTATTTTACACAAAAATATCCATTAAAAAATAAAAACATTCTTCGTACACATTGAATATGTCATGAAAACTACACTTATTTAACATTTGCCATATTTACAAGCCAACAAGAAAAAGGCGTGTTTTGATGTTGTGAATACAAAAATGTCATTCTATTTAACCTGGAACGCGACAGTTTCATTATCACTGGAAATATTGCTAGTGCTTATGTGATATACGATGCCTTGTATCCTCATTGTAGTGATGCTTTAGGCTTTTATCCGAATTATATTTTCTAATGTAAGCAACATTTATCCACTCACCATAACAATTTCCGTTGGCCTTCTCACACAAGCTATTCTTACAGTTAGCAGAACAGTCTTGATCACATATATTGCCATACTTTCCGGTAACGCATTCTGATAACATAGAAACATCTTTCATATTCTATATCTAATTAATTACAAAAACAATTATATCAATAGGGACACTATTATTTTGTTGTTGCTGCTAAATGAAAATTTTCTCATTCATTTCGAATTGATATTGTAGGTGTGTGGGAGTGATGTAGGAGAGATAACAGTGGTTCCTAATACATCGTCGTTATTGTTGCTCGCATAGTCGTCACAAATATCATAAAAACAGTAACAGAATGCACATTTATTATTTCTTTCTTGGGTAAACGTTTGTTTGATTTAAACACCGAAGAGACATGGAAATATTTACAATAAATATAAATGAGATAAAAACATATTCTTGAAACTGAGCAGTGAAAAATACCCGTAACAATTCTGGACATGTGATATAATTTGCAGGCATAGTACTGAGTCTTCATGGCTCAACTTGCTAAAGGGATAGGAATCTCCAAATGCATATCTAAGCAGCTTTCAGATTTCAAACAGAACTATTATTGATATGCCCTATAACGTCAGATTGTGAAGTGAAATATATTATTTCTGTTTACTGATAGGATTAGAGAAATGATTAATAAGATTTTGTAACATCCAAAGTAATGGGAATTAACACATAATTGCTAGTTTCGGATTTTTCCTGTTTGTTCTTAAATGAGAATTAACATTGTATGATTGAAATCAACCTAGCTGCTCTCGCACCATTGACTCTGAGTTGGAACCAAAATTATGTTGAGGGTCTAAAAACAAAGTATGCTAATCCAGACGGAATAACACCATGCAGTGATGTGATATTTCGCCTGGAGATATTGTGTTCTGTTCATGTCTATGTAAACAAAAATACAAAAATTGTTTCATACAATAAGGGCATAAAAATAATCATATGTCACTAAAATCTTGATCGTTTAAATGTAAAATGCATGTTACATGTTTTGTTATATGTTAATGCTTTGACGAGTGTTTTGTGATTAACTTAACTTTCTGTTTATTAATCAATATTAAGCAAATAGAGGCGGAAGGTCTTTTACAACATTTAATTTTGATACTATCGTACTGAAGAAAATTAAAGGAAGTCATGATAGTGATGAATAAAGCTTACAACACTATTATACGTTTTGAATATATATGATATTAAACGCATAAAAATTCCTTTTCGTTTTATTTTGGCCAGTGAAATATTGAAATGTATCAATTTGGGAAAAGATTATATCATCACCGCAATGATAACATAATATTTATTATGTCAATATTAGTGATAATATTACATTTCCAGTGATGATATTACTTTTTATTGATGATAAAATTTTCGTACTTTTGACCAACGAAAGCGGTGTTCTCAAGTCACTTCATTAAGAAATCACCGACTTTCATGTTTGGATGCAAATGAAGCGAAGGTTGAATGAACCACATATCTAAGGCCGATCCAAACATAAAAGAAGCCAGTGTGTTCAAATAGGAAAGTCTGCGTAATTCAATGACTCTGATTGGTCAAAACTGTTTAAGTTATATCTTTACTGTTAAAGTTATATATTACTGCAGTGATGATATACGTCTTTCATAAACTGATATAAAGTCCTACATTTCACGGTAAAAGAGTAAAACAATTATGCATTACTGTTTCTTTATCAATAACGAGAAATCATACCAATTTTTATGGCCGCCTGTTTTCATATAAACTTACATAATAACAACTGCAATATATAATGACCTTTTATGGGAATTCAGTTGGCACTTTTTCTAAACATAATGTGATACTTAGATTATCTTCAAAAACGAAATTTCAGACAGAAGTTTGTCACAAAAGTACCTGGTAATAATAATTTACAGGAGTGGAATAGTATATATATATTGCACTGCAGAGAACACATACAGCATTTGTTATCTAAAATCTCGAATTAGTCACTATCAAACAAAATATCACGAATCGTTTAAAAGTCATGTCAGTTTTCAAATGCATTATAATCTATCTGACCAAAAAATAATTAGATGTTCACAATTTCTATTGTAATCACTCATTTTTATTCGTCAACAGTTAGACAATCACAAAGAGACAGAAACATAAAAAGAATTTCTCTCTGGGTAAATGTCAAGTTGTCATCTTGGTTTTCATTTGCTATGTGTTCCTGTACAACATTTGTAAAGGTGCCCTGGGACCAACAAATTCACATAACATTATTGAAATTGTTGACATTGTACTTCTTCAAATCGATTGTTGACAAAAAGACAGTTAAAACTTCAACTATGATGATAAATCCTTGAACTATGTAATAATTTATCATTAGGAAAAACTTATTGCATGTTACAAATAATTAATTCTTTGTTAAATCACATGCTTTGATAAAATATACAGATATCATATGACCAGTCTTATACAGAACTCTGGGTTGATAATGTCAATATAATAAATAATACAACCATAAGAGGTTTTGAGCGTGACGTTTCGATAACAGCACTGTCACCTTGATCGGTCAAACTACCTTTCTAAAGCGTACCAGAAATGGCGTATGTAGAGTACGAGATGGTTCGGAATTAGCTGTGTTAAACACATTTTTCGCTACAACTACATTACATCTTGTGTACGTGTATCTATAATCCCTTTACCATTTTGTCACACTAATTAAGCTTATATAACATTAGGAAAGTCGATCTATTCACTACTATTTCATACACTGCACCAGGCATGGACGCTTTTCATCGCCCATTGGTGATGACAATGTGACCATCGAAACTTCAAACTTAATTTCTACTGGTTGTGTTATATTGCTATTTTGTTTACAATATAGTTTTCAATTGCAGTGAGAAATAAACAAAGGTAGTTTATATCAAGACACAATATTAGATATAGTTGAGTCAAAGGATTAGACAAACTATATCATGTAGGTATTTCGTCTTTTCGGGACTCGTCTGTGATGCGAGTTTTGATACCTAGAAGGAAACTAAGGACCATCATAATTGGTCGCAAATCTAGATGTAGGGAAACATCAAATTAATCTATTACGGATTTTTAAAGTTGTTAATTATTTTTCAAAAGAGCGTCAAGTACACGTATATATTCTGTACTAAGTAACTACGAGAATGATATAAAGACTGGCATGCAAGTTATCTGCATTAGAGGGTGGCAAATCCCTGTATGGAACATGAACATTTTGTATGAACTAATGTTTTGACAATAAACTTGGAACTACATTTGGTGCAATAAAATAACAATGACTTGTAAAGGCAAAATGGTTGACAATATTGAGTGTAGTAATTTTTAATACCAATCACAGTTGTTAACTAAATACGGTACTGAAAAACACATTATATTTATATAGTACATACCAATATTCGGTCTGTGTATAAAATAATACACGATAATCCGATAGTTACTCATTTCACATACCTAAACAATGTCCAGAGTCTTTATTACAGAGGCTGCCTTTACAGTTCGTAGAACAATCCATGTCACAAGCACTGCCATACTTTCTCGGGAAACAGTCTTAAATGTAAGAGATCTATATTATCGATAAAGTAATAACGACAACACGGATCAATTAATTGTCAGTTTTTGAGGCAGTACACACCCTTTATTAAGTTTGTATTATTTTTTAATTACGCCCTACATGTATCAACAGTAAGAACCGCCCGCTGTAGGACGTGTCAGGTTTAAGTGGAATCTGCAACCCAGAGGGGATAATAATAAAGACGGTCAGACACCTTAACCACTCGCCACTTCGGCCCCCTTTATAAAATACAAACTATTACCAAAGTTTGACAAATACAGAGAAAATAAAACAGGAACAAAATCACATTGTCTAGATAGTATATAATACTAAGAATCAAAGAAAGAAAGGATCAAACGTGCTGCTATTTGGGCAACAGATCAATTCTGGTTTCAATGTTTTGTAAAAGAAAATAAAGATGAAACCCCTTGATTGTGCAGGGGGCCTCATAATTCGTTTCCTCTTACGACATTCAGTCGGATACATCAATCATATAAGTCATCCGCATTCGCACATTTATCAGCAGTATGTGATACATAAAAACTGTCTGTAACAGAATGACCTATAGAACTTTCAGAAGGAATCGCAAAATGAGATCAGCATATCTTTGAGAATTCATTACTGTACTGGTATGTTATTTTATAAACTTACAAAAGCAGGAGCCAGATTTCGGGTTACAGTTGCCTCCGTAACAAGTTTCTGGGCAATCCTTTTCACAGTTGCCATCACCGTAATGGCCTGCTGCACATCCTAAGGGTGAACATAATAAAACGTTTCGAATACAGGTTTGATTTTCAAACATATTTTTACACTATATGCCTAGAAAAGATTAGTAAATATTATTGTTTCCCTCCTATCTTTCTTTCTCTATTGCTTTCTTTCTTTCCTGCTTTCAAGCACTCAGAAGCTAAGATTCTTTTATGCTTTGGAATCTATTAATATCTCACATCATAAAAGAGTGTAAAAAGTAATTGGTGTTAACAGCAAAAAGGCCTGGAAAAAATAGTTTTAAAAAAGTCACGCAATAGAATGGTAGAGAGTCAGACAATAATGTGGACTTGTGCTGACTACCTCCAGCCTCGAAGGGCACATCTAGAGTGTGACTTTGGTTAAGTACCAGTAAATAGCAAGAAATTAATGTCCAAGGGACATATATGGGAGTAGAAGAAACAGATAAGGAAGAGAGGTAAGATACATACAGAAAGGTAGAAACAGGATTTTAGCTATAGAGACGCCTAAAGAAAAACACAGATCGACACAGTCGGAGTAAGACGAGAAATAGGTAATTTAGAAGACAAAGGTGGACAGATAAACATACACACAAAACACGCTACACAGAGAACAGATAGAACTGCACAAAAAGACACATATAAACAAAGACAGACAGTGAGGGAGAAAACGAAATAGTGGTAATGACAAAACAGAAATTTTCTTGCTAGAAAATGCATTATAAACCGCTATTTAATTTTAGTTCTCATAGGACAAAGGAAAACGTCCTGGCATGGCATTTGTATATAATGAATTTTCTTCAGTATATCTAATGTAGATTTTTTTGTATTATTTTAATAATCTTTACTAAAAATAAAGATAATTTCGAAGGATTAACAGATGTACTTACCAAGAACTATAACCTCACATAACTCCAGCACAGCTCTAGCATCATACCAGGTGTATCGTGGTGGAACGTTTCTGTAGTTGTATACAGTAACATACCGGCCAACATACGGGCACTGATGTATTATATTCAGTTGTACCGTTGCTTCAGTAGTACTCGTATCCTCATAACAGCGGACACCGTTTGTTGGGGAATCCGTGTTATTAGATATATAAAGGTGGTAACCTCCTAATCTTTCCCCAAATCCAGCTGAAAATATGTCAAATGTAAAATAGTAATTATTCAGTCTATACAACTGCGTTATTATGTTTTTGCCGCAGGTTGTTTTCTCGGAAGAAAATACTGAAATCTTTAGTTGACAGCAGTATCATCACAAACATCAGTATTATTTTCTTTGATGCCGACTCCAACATGAACAGGTTTGAAATAAAGGCACGGATAGGCTTTTCTACATCAACCCACCCCGCAACCCCCACCCCCGCGTATTTTAAAAATGTTTTCCTGCTTTACAATTTTCCAGTTTTCCAGTTTTCCAATGTATCTTCAAAACGACCTTCTATAATATCATGCTGTACAGTAAATATAATATATAAAGGCAATAAGGCAGGGAAGTCAACTCGAGATCAATTTTCAATCATATCATATTATTTAAGGATTTCTTGGAATTTAAGTGAATTGAAGTTTATTGTGTGATTTTTATCTAGTGACATGAGATGCGATTCGACGGAAGCCGTACGTTTAGCTAACAACTTTAAAATTAGGTACACATTACTATAGGCAATGAAGGCTAGGAACGTAAGCCAATAATATTTCGCAAATAACTGTAGTAGAACTGTCACATGAAAACGAGCGTACCTTCTGCAACTCATAGACATTATTTAATATTTAACATTTAATTACAATCTCCAAAAATTCGACCTCCAAGCATATCTCATCTCCATTAGAAAATGATTTTTGACTTTTAGCTACAATGTTATCATGGTGCGGTCAGATCAAGTGTTTTTTAAACTGTCTGCAATGGCATGTTAAACAGCCTTTCCATGTTCTGCAATTGAAAAATATTTGTGACCTTTCGAAAAAACAAGAATTTGAATGACTGAAATGTTCGGAATTTCGTCAAAAAGTGTAACGTCAAATATAGAACTACCATAACGTATTTTCGTCACAAGATTACTCTTACAGCATTCAGTCTGGGAGACGTGAGATGTTTTATCCGTTCTGAGCCTAATTGCGTGTTAAAATGAGGTCTTATCATATTATTCAGCTTGTAAAAACAGTTGATAGTGTTAAAACTGCCAACAACAACCAATGACATTAATGGTCTGGTCATTGACAAAAAGATATATCGATATACCGAATGAAGATTCACACCAAAACATAAGTGGCAATCGATCAATATACCCTCGGCTATGAACAACATAAACAGGCAACTTGTACACCAAAAGACAAAACATCCCTCCCCTCCCATAAGCCAGACTAGCCACTCCTACAAATGGGCACCGTAACGAGTGGCAGTCATCACTGGGCCACTTGTGGAAAATAGAAAAAATTCAAATTACTTGTTTTCAGATTTGACTGACATCACTAGAAAGAATTCCTGTGAAATTATAGTCCTTTTAACAATCACGCCGGTTCATAAGACGATAAAGATCATACATGAGCGATTTCAACAAGACAAAACAAGGAAAAAACAGCGAGCCTACTTTGGATGTAGTCAGGAATGAAAAGGAGAACAACCTTACATCTCACCAAAACCAGGTTAATACACCATAAATTTTACAATTGAAGAGGGGACAGAAAGAAAATTCCTTTCTTCGATTCATTGATCTTAAGAAGGTCGGGTACTGGTAAACAAGAAAATATAAACATATGAACATAATTCTAATCCAAAATCAAATTCAATAAAACTAGTGCATAATGTTAATTCATAGAAGATTTAGAGAGACTCCTGAAAAAAGCACGTGGAGAATGATATCATGTGTTCAGAAAGAGTAAGCGTCTTCTGCTTAATCGATGACTCCTCTCGTATCAAGCACTCAAATGGGAACTAAACGTTCAACAACAGAACCAACTGGAAAGCTAGCGACTGTCAAACATGTCCAGCTTGGTATCGAAAAGAGATCAATGGTGACCGTAAGACTTTCCCCTATTTTCCATCAACCTGCATCTTTTAAAAACCTTTATTATAAGTTTGTCATTTATCGTTCTGCACAAACACCGTGAAACTGAGAAAAGAGCTTTGAGTATCGAGTAAACTACCATGTACATCCCATAGGTTGGGGATATATGAATCTTGCTATCTAGATATAGAGAAATCACAATGGCAAAATTGAAATCATTACTATTATCTTACAGGATACTCGATAAGCGGTTAATGTAAGAGAGCCTGTCGGTTCTTCATCTTCAATTGTGTTGAGTATAGCAGATAGAAGTGGTTAATAAATATCTTGTTATTTAAAGACAAGACCTCATCAATATGTCTGAACGTAAATCCTAAAGACCTTGCAATGCCTTATTTTGCCTGTTTTAATTAGCCTTTCGATAAATTTAGCCTCATATGAAAACCAAAGCAAGTCAGGCAACAGAGAGTCACAGTTACTCCTCAACATAGGTATGGTAATACTCTGTTTAAAGATCATCACTCTAAACTTCACGACGATTGTTTAACCCGGAAACTCGATCATTTCTGTTGTTGTTTTTTTTTTTTTTATATTTTATTTTATTTTGGGGTATTGTTCATGAAATACATTTAAATATAGCCTACAGCGATACACGTATACCGCCCCTCGCCCTTTTTTGGAAAAGAAAGCCCTCATAACAAGAGAACGAAGGAATTGTTTTACTTTAGAATGGACCATGGTGGTGTACAGTGTGACAGCATCAAATTTAAATGTTCTCTTAGATGTTTTTGGAGAAGTATGTTGATGATTGAGTTTATTGGTCGGCTTATTGATACCATTGAACAATATTCTATTTTTTGTATTACATTGGAGTTTTTGATTCTCGTTTGTATGTCTCGTTGTTGATTACAGAGTTCTATTAACTGACTCGAATTGTCCAAGATATACATGTTAGATGTCGACGGCGAAACAGAAGTAGCTTACCATCACCGAACATCTGAACGTATTCTCTTTGTATTTTTGCGAGGGTCTCCGTGTTAGCCTCTCATGTATTCGTATTTGCCTCCGTTATATCGAATTTCATTTTAGATTAAGTCTGTTGGCAAGACATTATTTTCTTTGTTGTCTTGATAATCCTTTACATAGAAAGTATAAATGAAATATTTGTAGCATATTTCAATAATCAGGTGTATTGATATCAAAAATTTAACAGTGATCCTGTATTTCTTACATTCTAGTTTCATCGGTAGGGGTTTGTCATAACAACATAACTATAGTTTTTGATCCAAAATGTCAAGCTGATAACGTGTGCAAAAATATTCATTCTGAACAGCAGACAGGAAAAAATAACAATTCGAAAGAATGTATTTTTGCAGACCACATGTAGGTGTACATTGTTAAAAAAAACTTAACATAATACCAAGCCTGAATGGAGGTCAAAGTATTTTAAGTAATTACAGCGAATTTCCTCATTGACAACTCAAACAATTGGCTCATTCACCTGAGAAATGGAAAAGCTGTCAATTTGGCGGAGCATTCCTCACCTTTCAGAAAGAAAAAAAACATTTTTTTTTTATTTTGCTTTGCAGTTTGGTACAGAGACAATTTTTAAAGAGTCTTATATCTCGAAATTCCGAATGCGATTTTTTAATAGCAAATTTTGTCGATTGGTTTGTTGAAGCAATGACATCGTGATGTCCTTATTATGTGATGCATTTCTATTTTCAAATCAGAACATAAATTAATACCTATCTTACCAGGGACCCATTCCATCCCAACCCTTTTTCGAACATCGTTGATGTCACAATTTATCAATATTATATTTAATGTTACGTAAACTTACCTCTATAAATTATTTGTATTGTGTCAATGGTGCTCCTCTGTCCTAGATCTACACGCCACCAAACGGTCTTAGGATTCCCAGCTACAGACGTGTGTGTACAACAATCAGAGGCTATATCTGTATTTGTGCAAGTATCCACTGCCGCTTCTGCTAGCCATTTTCCCGTATGTTGGTTGCTGCTTTGCTGGGCAGACTTTAAAGCAGCTATATTACCTGTAATTCAACACAATAAATATAGGTGATCAAGTAGGGCTTGTAATTCATCATGACAATGGTAAACTGATACTGCAATTTAAGGAGCGATTTTATCAGACTTAGAACACAACAGTTAAAACCGTATATGTGCTTAAATGAACAGATGTCAATTAATATCATGTGAAAACGCATGGTTTATCGTGGTGCATATCCTGAATGTATGTCTTCTTTAATTTGTCACATAACAAATATATGCCTGGTGTAGTCTAGATAATCATTATGACACCAGAAGAACAATTGTTAATCCTACTAATTCAATAAGATTTAAAATACTTGCACTACAGAAAAATGAATGCCGTGCACAAATGCTCACAGAATGTATCATTTAGCTTGAACAAATATACAAGTATCCAAACGACTAAACAACATGTAAAAACTTCTTGACGTGTACGCTTTCTGGAGAACGCATGGAAATAAATCACTCGACACTTGTCTATAAATGATGACTTGATATGCTCGTAAAGGAAACATTTTTAAAATCCCCGTGATAAATACAGCCATATTACATTCCATATCAACAGAATAAACAACTTTAAGAGGTTCAATCGCTGATTTGATTAGATGCTGAACCTCTCAAAATTTGGTTGTCCACGATATACACGAGCTGCTGTGTTATATCGTACTGTGAAAACATAAAGTCATGTATATATTGACCGATTGAAAATATTATCACAATGTAAACCAAGACACAGTTAACATTAAAATGAAATACAATGATCTCATGGTTCACGTTTTCGCATTAATGCATTTTTCGGTTTAGTTAAGTTTTTAAAACCGACCACTGGTAAATTCAAGGAAAAAACATATGCCTCTGTGCCATGAAATGCTTCTATACTATAGCATCCCCAAGACTGTAGACCGAAAACCCAAAATGATATTTTGTAATCAGGAAGTACGTTGTATACGGTGAGATATTTATTCTGTCTATGTGTTTATGTTTAATGTTTTTGTTTTCTTACTTATAGTACATACGTTAATTACTTACCTTCTGGTCTGCAGGTGTTGAACATCAGGAACAAGACCAGATATACGCCTCTGTTTATTACTTCTCTTGTCGCCATTTCTGTGCCTAATGGCGAATGTTCAGCAACAAGGAAGTAGAATGCACAGTGTCGTGGATTATTTTTTATATATATGTGAAGTGTGTTTAAAGTCTGGTACATGACCTGTTCTGGTAGACTGAGATTCACTAAATGGCTATAATACCTATAAATACCCGTGTTCACCTTTAAACAGTCGGTGTGCGTTACAAACTGTGCACGGGTATCATACATATACACACATCAGTTTACGTCGTTGTATGCTATGTTACAGTATAATTTATGACTACATTATTTTTATGGACCATTTTTTTTTTTTTTTTTTTAATTTCATAAATTTAATCCGTGGAAAATATAAGACTTACATAGAAATGATGAAAGTAAAAATGTAAACATTTGGGTTTTTTAAATCACACAGTCTTATTTGTTCAAATAAAACCACATCCAGCTCTGATAGTAAATACATCATGTTCCTTTCCAAACAAGACATGAAAAGGAAGTTTAGTCTTTGAACACTATCAATAAGTTGAGGCGTTATCGTAATAACGAGATCAATTTAGTCGTATTAACGAGATCACTAAACTTAACTCGGCATTACTTACATGGATTTATCAAGACTCAGAGGGCGGGTGCGGCGATGAAACAGTCTTATTTTCCTTGTACTTTTTCAAGATTTTCCATGTAAATACTTCTATTATTCATAGTTTGCCCTAGTTTATGTTAATTGAGTTTGGATTCTGATTATGTTAACACGTTGGTATTTTCTTGATGCCCTCATAACAACGAGATAACATAGGTCGTAATAGCCAAATAACAAAAGTCGTAATAATGAGATCATTATAACTTTGTATGTAGTACTAATCAGCTCCCTTAATATTCGCTTAGGTCAATTCGTCAATTTTAATGATAAACACGATATTGAAAGACACATTCAAACGGTAGTACGAGAAACAATAAACCGCCACCCCCACCCAATCCTCCCGTAGTAAGAGGGACATTAACACCATAACACGAGGTACAATCACCCCCTACTACGAGGGACATTAACACGGTAACACGAGGTACAAACACGGTAAACCGAGGTACAATCACCCCCGTAGTACGAGGGACATTAACACGGTAACACGTGATACAATCACCCCCGTAGTACGAGAAACATTCACCCCCGTAGTACGAGGGTTGTTAACACGGTAACACGAGGAACATTAACCTCCTAGTATGAGGGACATTAACACGGTAACATGAGAAACATTCACTCTCGAAGTACGAGGGTCATTAACACGGTAACACGGGAAACATTAACCCCCGTAGTACGAGGGTCATTAACACGGTAACACGAGGAACATTAACCCCCTAGTATGAGGGACATTAACACGGTAACATGAGAAGCATTCACTCTCGAAGTACGAGGGTCATTAACACGGTACAACGAGGAACATTAACCCCCGTAGTATGAGGGACATTAACACGGTAACACAAGGTACAATCACTCCCGTAGTACGAGGGTCATTAACACGGTAATACCTTTGTTAACCTTTAAACAGTCTGTTTGTGTTACAAAGAGTGCACGGGTATTAACAAGCACATATACACATATACAAACATCAACAATTTTGAATTACGAAATAATCATGAATCAGCTTCAAAGTCTTTAATGCATAACCAGCAATGAAGAAAATATCGTAAGTATCCACCGAGTGTAAGGATTAAATAAGGGGATTCTTAAACATTGGTGCAAACAGTGTACACCCGGATGACGTTTATACATTAGAACGAAATTGTAATGCTTTTGTTTCATGAATTGTCATATCGTGATGGTCAGAAAAAAATAAACGTTTTAAATATTGCTAATATTGCATAATGGCCTGAAATGTTACTTGTAGCCGCTACATGATATGTCTATTGGATAACGAAATGTTCAGACAGAAAAATTCAAGTAAAATGTTATATCATTATTTTCAATAGAAAAGATAGCTCTTTATATTGAATGTATTTTTTATAATGTGCATGCTTTGCTTCTTTGTTTATTTGTTCAAAGCTACACTATTATGGTCCAACTTCCCGTCTAGGTTTTGACTTTTTCGTTTCAGTCACTTTTGATTTTTCTCAATCGCTTCCTAGAATTTATGTCCTTAGTATCACCGACGAGTCCTAGGAGAACGAAACAGCTGTATGATTCAGCTTTGTTATACTGTATCTTATTCTTTGTTGTATTTAAAGGTGTTATTCACTTATGTGCCTTTGTACGATCTCTGAATTAAAATTTTCAAGAATGAAAGAGCCTACAGTTCCGGGCATGATGAATGCAGCTCTCTTCACTTTCAGTAAAGTTTGTTTGGTGATTTTTACAAAATTGATACAATACTTTTGCCTACATGCAAATGTGTTATGAAAGTTTGTATTGTAATTGCTTAAAAGGAATTATCCTCACAATATTTTTAGTACATGTAATTTTTTTTTGGAACTTGTGTATTGATACCAACAATAGAGTTGTTTACATTCACATTATGGAGATTTGTTTGGAATGACACCTAACTTATGAGTATATGTACTTATTTAAGAATGATAAATTCCGTAATTGTGTGTTCAATCTGTATGGGAGTGTATGTGGTATGTTTTATGGGATACGTCCAATCTGACCTCAGTTGATACATGAGGGTATTGATTATAGTCGAACGATGCCAGAACACAGATTATGCTTTTGTGAAGTAATTCAAATCAGTCTGCAACGGCTTTGATTTGACTTTGTCACATTCATAATGCTGTTTTGCCTTTTCAAAATCTGATAAGTTCCTGCAGTGTCATTTCATGCACATGTCTGTGGTGTCCAAAAAAACCTCTGACATGTCAAGGAAATGTCTAATTATGATATTCGTCTTATAGATAACTGCTACTGAAGCTTTGATGTTTCAGTTTATCACTATGTTGCTCATATAGTTTCTAAAGATACTTTAGCATTACTGGCACTGGTCATTAGTTTAAACAAAGGCAACAAAATATACCTTCATGTGAATTTGTACAAAATAGCACTTACTATTAGCCATAACTGAAATCAAGTTCCAATAAAAAAGTAACAGGTGCATGAATGAAGAATTGTCTTAATTAAAAGCAACGGTCAAAGAGAAACATTTTTTTTAATCCTTATCATGATTCGATGCCGGATTAGTAAACGCCTGCTAGTCTTCAGTTTTTCTTGTATAAACTCGAATTCTAGTTCATGACAAATATGAATGTCATCATAAACATCCAATATAAAAGGAATTTAGAGATAGATATGTTTCAGGAAAAAATCATATGCATGTTTGTCCTGTATTTACGAACTACATAATGAATTCCGGACGTTTCGCGAGAAGATGACGAGAAATCTGAAATCCATCCACTTTGTCACCAATCTTTATACTGTCTCTAGCACTATTGATACAGCAGAACACACCGCTCGGTGTATACCCATCTCAAAAAACAAATATATGATATAGAGTATCTAACGTATAAAGACTTATGCTTAAACGAATAAAAAAGAAAAGACACAAAAAATCCTTCTTATGCGAAGCGAAGGTCTTTAGTTTTCTTATGACATTATTGTTTAAAAGTGTCACTTTTGCTGATAAATCTCACCTGAGGTGTCTACAATGTAATAAGGAATTCATTTTAATTACCGAGAAATTGAGCCTTCACTTGAAGTCAGTGTATTGAACTAGATAAATGAATTTGTTTTTCTTGATTGCTGCTTTATGACTTGTCAATATTTCTTGTCATTTCTCGATGAAAAATAAAATCTGACCTCGCCCACTTGGCAATGACTGTAGGAGTCAATGGCAACAGACCACCTGATGAGTGGCTGTCATTCAATCAAGTAAACTAGAACAGACTTCAACGACATTAAATATTTTAATACCTTTCAACGTACACATCAATTTAAAAAAAAGATGAAATAATAATGAAATTGACAGGAAAATATATTTATTATTCCACATTTTCACACATTTTGAACTTCGGTCTAAAAAGCAATATCAGACCACCAGATTAAATCAGCGTCTGCTTATCAGTTTGTTTATCCGACTTACGATAACAGGAAGTATTTCAATCTCGGTAATGTCTTTGGCTTTGATAACGAAAATTATGTATATGATCCGCTGAATCATGAATTAGATGGTGATCCAGGAAACATCAGCAAGACATTATCTGTCGTATCTGGAACAGCTAGGAATAACTATCAAGCTGCTCTTCACACACTCACTATCACCAATGACTACTTCTGTCACGTGTGGTCTCGGAGCCTCTCCGTCCACTGATTTGCAAAATACATTTCTGTTTGTCCCTTTATTTTTATTTAGCTCACTCAACTTTGAATGACTGAAAATGGCGCGAATAAGCTGTCACATCACTCACGCTCCAATGCTTAGTGATTTGTCAAACAATATCCTTAACTAGATTACAAAATTGATAGATGTATATGTTTTAGTTTAGAAACGCATTTCAGAAATTAATTATAAGCTTTGTTAGACTTTATTTACTTTCATATAGCACATGCATGACAAAATAACTGATATGCAAACTAATTCGTTCAGTTCATTTATTACTTAAATATTTTCATATCAAAGCTTAATTGAAATAGGATATAAATACTAGAAAAGGAGGTTGGATCATTATAGTTTCTTCATATTGATTATCGTATTTGGATAAATCGAAACAATATTTTTCTTTTATTTTGATGAACAATGTCCTTATGCATCGTATTTATTGTCATCAAAAAATAAAGATGTTGATATTATATGTATTGTAGATATTGGTAATATCACGTAAGTACTTACTGGCATCGTTATAGCATTGATGTAATCTGTCCTGCCATTTGTATATCGACAGAAGTAAACAATTATGAAATTAAATCTTTCATAAAATGTACAACATTATTTCAAACAGCCTGTGGTTTCATTCACGGAAAGATTTAAAGCTGAGCTTGAAAAAGTTGACGGCGACATGATTGAATTGAACAAGTAAAATATATAGATAATCTGAAAGAAAGGATCTAGAGAAAAGAAGTGAGTTTTCAGAGTTTCGACTTGGATAATACAACGTCCTCATATACGGAATAGAAGTCACACATAAGGAAAACATGAACGCTGTGCGTCATTATTTTCGTACAGTCGTTTATGATTATCTATAATATCCATCGTCTCTCTCAGAGAAACACTAATTTAAACACTACAAATTATCATCCAACGTCGATAAATGTGACATTAGATACTATGGATGTTATGCACCTTCCGAGAGGTGACCGGATTACGATCGTGACCGATATACGAGACTTAAACAAAAATGCTTAACAATCAAGGATCGGATACACTATGAGACAAAGAGTCACAAATATAAAGACTAAGATTCAAGGGTCTCTTGCGGTGATAGATGTGTGATTAGAAATGAGACCAAAATATCTTAGTAAAGGTCCATGGAATATAGTTTAAACTGAATTGAAGTATGTGACCTAATTACAAGGAAAAGTGCCAGAGAGAATGATCGAATGAACTGTATTGCTGTAGTTATTTTGATAATCTAAAGACCATAATTGTTCGGAAAATACGATAATAAATGAATTGTTGTTAAGTTGTTGAGTTCTTCAGTTGATGTTTGTTGAAATGATCTAAGCTAAAAAGAAGGAATTTGAATGTAAAATCACACTGAAAGACGTTCAGTTTTAAAATGTCAAAATAACGAGAAAAAAGCCCAGGCTTTAATGGATTTTGAGCATTTTGTTCTGTTAAATGTTTCTGCGCGTGCAATTTTTTGTCAATTACACAAAAACAATGTAACATCACAATGATTACAAAAGACAATAAGCCAAGAGACCTTTTGAAGAATTGGAGATCAATTTCTCTCTTTAATGCGACCTACAAATGGTTTTTGCATGCTTAACTAACATATGATTGAATGATATTATGAGGACCAGACAAATGAAAAAAATGGCCAAAGAGGCATTTGACGACATGGAGCTACATTCCAATAATCAACTCTTTATCTATATCTAAACTCGTCAACTTGATTATACGTCTCCTTCATCCTACAAATAAACATCTAGTTAAACTGAACACAATTATTTTCTCAAACGTTTGGCGTGGCACTACCGAAAGCAAGAAAGCAAAGAAAATCCAAGGCAAAGAAGAATGGGTTAAATATGATACACTTGGAATCATTCCAATAATATTACCTCAAGATAAGCTGGATAAGTATAATAGTCAATAACACATGTTCCTGTCGGGTTCATATTTTACTAGTTGTATCCAAAACAATCTTTGAGGAAGGCTTACAAATTTATATTTTCGGTGATGCGTTTTATAGGCAAATTCTAGATTTATTGGGAATAGATCAAGGAAGGAGGTGTTTTTGGATGTTGTATGAAGTAAAAGTATTTGCTCCAACTAAATATAGGTATGTGTTGTCAGGACCATAGTGGTAGAACTCAAGTTTTACAATTAAAAAACGGTAATTATTTTACAAAGAATGCTATGAGCAAAGTGTATATAATGTACGATTTTTTATGCTGATGGCAAATAATATTTTTACAACAATATCTGGATTTTCTTCGGCGTTTATCCATCATTTACTATATATAATGTTCTGAAAAAGACGATTACCAAGGATCTTTCTATTTTAAGAGGAGTCCAGTTATCGGAGGATTTACTCATGTACCTTAAATTTATTAAAACGGTTGTAAGATATGGACTTGTACAGTCAATTGGATCATCATTGATTAAAAGTAATGTTTCAAAGTGGAAGAGGGATCTTTATCTTGAGAAAGATGATAAATGGTGGAGAAAAATGAATAAATCTAATTTCATGGTAGCTAAAGACAAAACAACTACAGTGGTTAGAGTCTACGCTGGTACATCGTGTATTGCCAACATTTTTGTTCTTTGGCGAGTTTAAAGTGTTGGGCTATCTCATATGTACTTTTTGTAGAGAGGAACAAGAAACTTTTTGCATTATGTTTACGACTACACACAGGTAAATACAGTTCTTAGAGAACTGAAACAGTGGTTACAGGAGAATACCTTCTTATTATTTGGCCAGAACACTATTTATATGCTATTTAAGCAATATGTTTATTAAAATATACTTCATAAGATGTATGTTTGCTTTGAAGTTTTGAAAACTCATATTTGCTATTACTACAACGGGGAAAATGCATGCACGATCAAATGAATTTCTCTTCACTCTTCAATGGATGGGAGAGGATGGCATGAATTACTAGATAAATCAATGTTAAGTATTATACCTAAATGGATATATCTACAGTGGCAAGGAAAGTTTCTGAAGAAACTGTACGATAAAGACAGTGTTTTAATCGTATCGTTTGAATTTGATAGAACATTATTCTCTGTAGTCACCAAATGTCAAAATGACATACAATAAACTTATCATATGGTGATTGTACTTACGATTTTCTATAATATAATACGTTATGTTCAATTCTACACAGTATCCCCCAAATATCAATTCAAACAAGGGTATTTTCCATACAGCAGTAATACAGCTAAAGCATTGAATCTATCACCGAAGTAAATCAGTCAAATTGCTATAATCAGTCTGTAAACAACTTTAAATCACCTACTTTCAGATCTGCTGGTTTGGAGGAAGATGAACAGGATCAGAAACACATCCCTGGTAAACACAGCTCTTGTAACAGTCATATTACAGACGTATTTCCCAACGTCAATGTACCGTTCAAATGATGTTTGTCTTTTAAATATGTAATCACGCACATACGTTCATTAACAGAGAATTAAACCATTTAGCTCTCAGAGACAGCGTAAACCGTATACTACTTGAATTGAATACCACGCTTTGGTGCACACACTTCTTTTATTTACCTGTACTTTTTAACATCAAATTTCCACTAGAAATCAATGATACACACGCTAGAAAATAAAACCGTAAGTTTCCATTGGATATATTGTTTCCAGCGTCATATGCTGGTACAAAATAAATAAACAAAATATACTCGCAAGTTTCTTTTCGATTTCCTAAATTACGATAGCCATACAAATCGTATTTTAATGAAAAGTCTATTCTTTTCTGCTTCATGTTGAATATCCAATAAGTTAGAAACAAGGACTAAATGAAAATTAATATGGCGGACTGATGTGTCAGCCTGCCGTTACCGTGATTAGCGTATGTTATATCATTGTGCTGCCTCAGCAGCTGGTAAGAGTAGCCCTATCAGTTGTGTAATTTTTCCCCACTGTATTGTATTTCCCTGTGCTTTTAACTTCTTTATGCACCCTGTGGCATACATGTTTGTCCATTACATGCGCAGTGTATGTTATATATGTGTTTGTTTGTGTGTATTTTAACACAACCATCCCTTCGTTCTTTTTGTTTCATTTTAGCATTTAAAATGGAAAAAAGACCGACCGACTGTAACTATAGGAATTACTCGGCAAGCGTCTTCAACTATGTATCGCACTGTCTTCTTTCAAATCCAAGATAGCCTCCCTTTATCAAGTACAAACCTAGGTTCTGATTGATATGAATACACAACCTTGGTACATGTACCATGACTCCTTTTGAAGTAACATCTGTTATTGTTTCCAATAATGTAATATTTCCGTTCGAAACCATTCGATGATTTTTCATCACAGTTGATATTCAATATAATGTTAACTGATAAAATTGAATATTGTATAACAATCAATTATATGGGATGATCTATGAAGGGAGAGGGATAGATAGAATGATTAAGGATGAATTTTTCAAGTTTTCAAGAATTATAATGTCATGACCGAGATGGAATTTGGAAGCATGAAAGATGTTTTTATGCTTTATTTTGATGAACTTCTAATCCTGTTCGGTATTAATAAAGAGTAGACAAAAAGATGTTACAATTGAAGTAGTCATTTACAATCAACTGTAAGCTGATGCCAGAATGTTAAATCATGAAATTATTTCAACATTTTTTATCCTGATTCTTCAATATACATATTGAAAATTGCAAAATTGAAAACACAACTAATTTAATACCTCAAAATAATTCGCTTCACGTTTTTGTAAATTAGCGCATTGATAAATTCATATCAGTAATACTGGCTTTACATTAACCACTATACAGAAGCGACAAATCACGCAGACATATTTTATCGCAATGCCTGCATATCTTGTTAGGTCACCGCTTTATAATACTAATTAAAATCTAAAATATTCTCAAAATAAATTTGACACAAAAACTAGGCAAACCTTAAATGAATGGCTATTGTTACGTTACGGAATTAACGTACAACAAATAAAACCCAACAGCTAGGTTAAAATTCAAACAATTTAATAACAACAAATAAATTCTATACAGTACAATTCAAAATATTGCGATGGTGTACAGAGCCAGCTACTACTTAATCAAAAGTCAGAACTTATCTCTCAGTGGAAATCCTCCAAATCCAGATGAATCCACAATAGATTGTCCAGAAAACCGGGTAACCGCAGAATAATCCAAGATTTATTCCCACGCTGGGTATATATAAGTGCAAGTCCACAAGGCACTATCACTAAATCACTGTACAAGTCCACACTTCAGAGACTGAAGTCTCAAAATAAGCTCACTCAAGGCGTTAAAACTTCAAAAAGGCTCATCAGGGTCAGTTCCATCATATTTATATACATTAAAGGTTTCTAAAGTTCTTTTCTAGATGATTCTAGACTAGCAGGTACCTAGCTTGTTAACATGTGTCTCTAGAAACTTCCGGAAACACCCAGGTAATTCTAATAACCGAACTTTCTAGATTTAGAAACTTCGGGAAACACACAGGTCATTCTAGTAACCGAGCTTTCTAGAAAAATCTGCCTAGCACGATCTACACATATTGTGACAAATAATTATAAGGAGTTTTTTTATGTAAACAACCAATAAGATACAATGCATGTAAACACGGCACATCTGAATTTGGATTAATACACACCATCTATACATAACACTATGTATTCTGTGTTTTATCAAGGTATAGATTACATTAGAAATACGATGGTACGACTCAAAATTCCAAAATGATTTAAGGGCACTAAGGTGTTGGCAGATTATACCTATTTTCGGTGAATATATGATAAATAGGAAAATATAGATTGAAATAGTCCTTCCGAGTACAACCTACAAGATATTTTATACAGCAATCTCAAACATACTGAATGGAATATTAAGCAAATGTGTTAATCTCTTTACAAAAGATAAAAAATGTTTTTAAAATGTTACTCAGATCAAAAACTGTCAAGTAAATAATTGCTATATATGTGTTATCAAACCATATATTTACGGTTAAATATTTATGTGAACTTCTATACCGACAACTCATACAAAGCATTATGTTGTGAAGTTTGTACTATAACATCCCTTCGGTAACAACATTGTTTAACAGATATGAGTCGTGCAGCATAAATCTGATATGACGGTCAGTTGTGGGAATGTGACAGCCCGATTATTTGACGATCATTTCATAGACGTGTGGCGCTCCTTCCTGTTCATTCGAAAGAGACGTATAATTTGGATCCGGAACGGATGATTCTGTAAGGCAATAAAACGAAATTGACGAGAGTAGGATTTTTATATAGTTAAACAAATGACGTAGAAAATGTTATTAAAAAGATATTTTTGAAGGTGACAGCAAATAATAAATGCCTTATATTATAAATATGTCTGTCTATATATCGAAAAATCGAAATAGTACTTTTGTCTTTACTCATTACCTTTGTCGTTATCTGATGACTTTTTTCTATTTTGGATTATTCTGTAAAGATAGAAAGTTGATAACTGTCAATCAGAGGAAGCAACATCGGAGGTGAATCACGATATCGGGTTTTTCTCTATTTGTTATTGTTATGATATATTGCGTTTCAAGCTTTAAGAATGCAAAAGTATACAAAAAACATGACAAAGAAATATTTTCTTATTAAACAAAATGACTTTCCCTGCCCGGAAATGTTGCAATGACATTTCAAAAAGCTTAATCCTACCATGTCTCTTTCTTTGCCGTATTCCTAAATATCCTCTATAAATTATAACCGTTTTTTCTGTCTTGAAGGCAAATTCGTATCGAATTTTAATTTCCGTAACGTTAAGTATCTATTAATGATGGACACTTTAGCTAGTGTACGGAATAGTTTAAAATCAATTTACATTCACATGGTGTTTTATAAAGAGTTATTCCACCTGCTATATGCAAATGTGACTTTTGCTCAGAATAACAACATGTTTGTTTTTAAACATTTAAGCATTAAATAAAAGTAGCGCATTACCCGAAACTGACATTACTTAACGGAACGTTCTCAGAACAAATCTATGATGGTCAATGTGATTATATACACCGAAAAACAATAATTTGACAAATCAACAGTACTGTTCTTCTGTCGTTTGTTAACAATTTTTAGCAAGAATTGTATAACTTTGATAAACGACTGTAATTTTCATGTTGGAAGTTTTGTGGATGACAGCACACTTTACTAATGTTACTTACCGAAGTAGACATATTACCGTTGTGATGAACGCAGCAATCAGTAAACCAATAATGACGGCTTGAACAGCTATTATGATTAGCTTATGATCGGCTGAAATATAACAAAAGAGTCTGTTTGCTATTAAATCAGTACTGATCTTCCCCTCTCTGTTCAGGAAGTAGACATTTATTTCCTATAACATGCTTCAATTAGTCTTGCTCTCTTACAATTCATGCTTGAAAATGAAATGCTGATGTTAAGGAAATTATCTCGAATATTTCGAAAAGTATATACTTACCAGTGCTGATACAATGACCGTCGTCTTTGTTACACGTACTGTCAGTGCAAGTGTCCAGACAATCTGCACCACACACAACTCCATACTTTCCCGCATAACATTCTGCACAAAAAATACCATGACTAAATCACTTCATAATCTTATCCTTGAAGAATGTCACACTGATAGATATAACATAAAGAGTTATGCTGAGTATTGTTTATTCTATTATGCAGTTCTGTTCTAATTTGTTGTGTAAAATTTGCAATGGACTATCGCCGTGAAAGATATTGTATTAACGTCAAACAGTAGAATTTGCCATCAATTTCTTCTTTTTGTTTATCTTCTAAGACTTACAAATATATGCATAAAACACGTCTCGCTACTTTACCTAAACATTGTCCAGTTTGTTGATCACAAACGAAATTTTTACAAGTCACGGGGCACGTTAAGGCACATGTCGCATCATACTTTCCGATAATGCAATCTACAAGTGAAAAGGAATTCTAATTTTAGAACAAATGTATCAACAGTTTTATTTTTTATCAGCCGTCGCTAGTGTCATTATTTATGTTTATGTGTAATATTGTGAATTGCAAGACTTTAAAAAAAATCTTCGAATTTTGAAAATCATAGCATCATCTCGAAGGATTTTTTTTTAAAATTCACTTTTGAAATTTTAAAAAGAGGTGATAAGAAACAGGGAAGACACAGGAGTACCAAAGATACCATAATGATCCATAGAAACCTTGTCTCTCGTTGAAGATTGTTAATATTCACTCATATTGCAAAATCGAATTCCTGAGTCAAATATTTAAGAAGTATTCCATTTTTTGTAGCGTAGCATTTTGATGGCGTCAAGTTAATATGTGTCGTATTCCTTATTCAAACAAAAAGTGGGTCTTTTGTATATTTAAAATTTGCTGATCTTTTGTAAACTCTTTTGAAGAACAGAATTAAGTTTCTGTTACATGCTTTGATAAGATCAATCTTGTTTTATCAAAGCAGGCCAGCAATTCGAAAGAGAATGACATGGCATCATCTAGAAACACTTTAACATAATCTAAATTCAAAAATATTTTTAAGGCAAAATAGGTATGGCCGTTTATTTCTAACATGGTTCGTGGTCGCGAACATTGTCTTTTATGTATTCTTTTTTGGTGCTTGATGTTTCCTCACTTCTTGCCTTTGAGCTTAATGTTCATTCAAGTGGAAAAAAAGTAAGTCGCTTCTTTTCCAAAGACATACCAAAGAAACTAAATGATATTTTCTGTTATCCGATTGTCGCTGATGGGATGTAAAAAGATTTGTTAATCAGTATAATATGAACGAGAAAGTGTTATGCCACCGCGCCCAGGCTATGATGTTACAGTGTGATGGCACTAAAAAGTGCCCATCAGTGACCACATCATCAATGGAAGCCGTCCCTTTTTGACTGTAGCTATGGCAGAGAATTACAAACAAAATAGCAAACGTTTTCCATCCCCTATCAAAGAATCAAATTCCAGCCGTTTTAAGTTAAAAGATAGCACGTTATCCAGTGTGATACAGATCCCTAGGTAATATTGATATTGGATTCAATAAAGATAGTATCCACCAACACCTCAGACACTTCATAAACCTGTCCTTGTCTTCGACAATATAGTATGCAGACGTATGTTAGCAACCTATTCGTGGTGTAAATATAAGCAAACAATTTATACGTATTCAAGTGAATTGTATGACATTTGAAAAGAATATCATGAATATACGTTTGTCGTTCTCAATTGGTAACCCTGTGTCGTAAGGTCAAGTACAAAACAAAGAAGCAATATCAACTTGCCATAACAATGTCCCGTCTTGCGGATACAAACATTGTCTTTACAATTCTTCGGGCAGTCAATGTCACACGCATCCCCGTGTTTTCCATTGGTACATTCTGTAAAACAAGCCATTCCTTAGATAATCAAGGTCATAATTGTGTCATAATTGGCAATGTGACAGTCAAATGGTCAAGATTCAGTTCAAAAGTAAACTTTGAAATAAGCATATCTCCATTCCAACAATGTACAAGGAATCTTTCAATCTTTCAAGAAGTGAACTTGCCTATCATTCTTAAAAACAACTCTCATCTGATAATTGGTGTAATGTATGCCTTTGGATAGAATTCGTATTAAAAGTATCTCGTACAATACATTTTACTGATCACATATGCAATGCATTGTATATACGCATATAATACTAATTTCACTTGTAAAATCTTGTAATATGATATATCATTATATCATATAATGACAATGAAATGACGTCACTAACCCGTCGGAGCATTATGACGTCACAAAAGAATTAATAAAAATAACGTTTACTGCACTATTCAAACGTAATTTTCATGTCATAAACATACAGGTTCGAATTTGCTTCCCTCCCATTCAAATAAAAATGTCAAATTCTAGATATATCATATTGTTTTTCACGATTTTAGACATTTAAGTGCTATTTTCACTTCTCTAAAGATACTGAAAGTTTATAGAATATGAAAATAGAACACATTGAATATAAAGCATTTTCATATAACTATGGTTTGGAATTAAATCCCTGTGTTGTGAGTGAACACAAAGAACATTTTGAAGGATCCCATTGTGTATGAATTTGCATTTTAATTTCCAGTTGCCATTGAAGTTACAATTATAGTCTTTCGTAGCAAACTTGTAGTTGTTTTACAGAGAAACAGGCATTAGTTGTGTTGCTCTGATAAATATTTGCGTTTTTGTTTAGGTGATGCGCCGATTGAAATAAAGCGTGACAATTCAATTATATTATCACTTACCTGTACAATTTCCAGTGACCTTGTCACAGAACCTATCTTTACAGTTGTCAGAACATTTCTGATTACATATACTGCCATACCGTCCAGGAACACAATCTGCGAGTATAGAACAGGACCGAAATGACAAAACACTTATCTACTCTATCTGTTATTAACAAAAGATTTTCGGTAAGTTTACATGATTATCTCAATTAAGACTGAAATATTGTAAAAATACATTTCAGAATCAAATTTAAAAAAGGAAGAAAAAAAATGGAATCACTTACCAATGCAGTATGCGGTTTCTTTTTCGCACAATATATCGTTACAGTTTACGGAGCAGTTGTGTTCACATCCATTGCCGTATTTTCCAGGAACGCATTCTAAGAATATAGAATGAGTCCACAATTATATAAGATAAATCTACTGCATCTCACATTGCCAATATCATTGCTTTCCTTAATGTTACATATAGTAAAGAAAACCATGTAAGATAGAAATCGATTATACGGCGATTGTTAATGCAGAATTCGTCAAAATCATGTGTATCCATCTCACAGTCACTCCTAATTTTACTAAACGGTTGCATGCACAAGTTTGGACATGAATAGGAGAATAGTGTTAACAGTGGAGGGGGTTGGAGGGACCCTAGATTGTGAGGAAGTCATTTTTGTTTCATTCAGGTCAAATTAATTGTGATTTGTTGTTGTCCTTACAATTAACGGATTAACGTATTACCATACGAATCAGGGACACATTCTAAGGAAATGAATGGAGAATAAATTTCATTTCATTTTATTGACTTGATATAACCGTGAGTAAGTCTCAGTGACAAATGTGTACTTATCATTGTTTTTCGCGAGATGGGTTTTTAAGTAGTGAACGCAGGGGACAAATGTAAAATTCACCAGCAGAAAGAATATGTTGTAATCTGTGTAACCTTAAATATCCTACACCAAGTGTAACTACATGTTTCTAAACCAGAGCCAAATTATTAACGAAAAGCTGACAAATTAATCGCTTGTATCGGCATACTTTTTAGGGACACATTCTAAGGATATAAAACGTGCTATTCATTATCATTTGTGTTCGCTTGTTGTGTTTCTTTATACATTGTTGTCCACGTTAAGTAACTTCTATTAAAACTTTGGAAACATTACACAGGTCTTAATCTAAACGCAAAATCGATGTAACTATTACAAAATATAGAGTGTTTAATATGAAGCAATTCCGTTAGGATGACTTCCTTACATTGTGGAGAATAAGTGATTAAGCAAATGCTAGATAAGAACCTGTCAATTGTGAATAGTAACGACCTGAAGATATAAATATTTACAGGTTCATTATTTTCTTAAGTTGAAAATGTTGTAGCAATATATTATACGGTAAAAATGAACGAGGCTGTACTAAACGTAAATAAACCTGTACAGAACCCAGTGTCCTTGGCACACAACCTGTCCTTACAGTTTACAGAACAGTCCTCAGGACATGTATCGCCGTACTTCCCGTTAATGCAATCTGTAAACAACAGTACGTAGCAAACAACAGAAGAGAAACCAATTTGAAAATCTTGCGATATCAAAGTGACGGACAGGGGACAGAGGAAACACGTAAATTTTGCAATATCCCGGTACAACTTCACAATAAGGTATGAAAAAGACACTCACCTGTACAGTACCCGGTGTCCTTAGCACACAACCTGTCCTTACAGTTTACAGAACAGTCTTGGCCACATGTATCACCGTACTTTCCGTTAATGCAATCTGTAAACATCAATACGTAGCAAACAACAGAAGAGAAACCAATTTGAAAATCTTGCGATATCAAAGTGACGGATTTGGGACAGAAGAAACATGTAATTTTGTAATATACCGGTACAACTTTACAACATGATATGGAAAAGACACTCACCTGTACAGTACCCGGTGTCCTTAGCACACAACCTGTCCTTACAGTTTACAGAACAGTCTTGACCACATGTATCGCCATACTTCCAATTTGAAAATCTTGCGATATCAAAGTGACGGACATTTGGGACAGAAGAAACAAGAATACACTCTAGACACTCTAGACATATCAGGAATTTAAGCCATTAATAGATTAATTATGTTCCAATACATATTTTTATCCATCCCTGAAACCTTTTATTATATCTATATTAGACAATATTATTGAAGTTTTGTATTAAATCTTTGCAGTCATTTCCAAATATCAAAGTTATACGTGTTTTGTATTAGAAAAGGCGAGTTACAATGGACAGTGTTATGCCATACAAATGACTGGTTACTGCAAAAACTGACGCAAAAAAGTAAGGAATCATTTACTTCTTGTATCCATATCTAACATAATATGACCAGTCAATGGTGCTGCACAAATTCATTATTTTCTGTTAAATTCAGTCTTTGTCAAATTTGAGAAATTGTTGGCTCTTAGTTTTAGTGACTTACGGAAGCAAAAGCCCGTGTTTGAGTGACAGTTCCCCCCGTAACAGCTATCTGAGCACGCTTGACTACAGTCACCGTCACCGTGAAAGCCAACTGGACATCCTGGACACAGATATGCGCGTTATGGAAATATAATTTTGTTGTATACATTGTATTTTGTCAAATATATTGCTGTTCAGAATGAAATAATAATATCCATGCCAACGCAGTTTCTAATAAGCATTTGATAAATTGGTATTATAATGGAACTGAATTATCTGAAAGGTCATGTTTACAAATCGAATAAACATAAGACGTTTCCATTTCCCTACATTTACATAAAAAGCAGGCTGTTTAAAACAATGATATAAAATAGTTTGATAGTAAACTCACCAGACGCTTTTACCTCACACAATGATAGTATTGCGTCATCAGCATACCATTCGTACCGTTTCGGATTGTTTCTGTAGTTGTAAACAGTAATATACCGACCTACATACGGGCACCGGTGTGTTATTTTCAGTTGCACGGTGTCTTTAGTAATACTCCTCTCCTCGTAACAGAGGACACCGTGTGTAGGGGAATCCGTAAAATTGGATATATATAACTGGTAACCTGCTGTTCTCTCCTTATCCTTTGTAATCTCATCTAAATACAATTTAAAAAAAGGAAATAACATGATTTACTCGTAAGTGCTTTAAGAATATTAGGCTCGCATCCTGTTATTTTGAATGTAGCATTTTACATTATGCTTAATATTTAGTTTACATTCGTTGTTATTGGCATATACTTATGTACGGCTAGCAATCGAATGATTATAATTGTTTGAATATTGTATATTATTATCATTGAATATTGTCTCCTTAACTATATCGCAAAACAATTGTTCCTAATCTAAATGATAAAACCAACAGCTCCGAAAGATTCCATTGTTAACATGGAAAAGTCCGTACAAATATTGGGCATACATCGTTCGGTCACACGCACTATGCAGTATCTTGTGCAAGAATGTGCGAATGGAAGACATGTGTTGTGCGGTTCGATAAAAATGTTTGACTAACATCACAATTTAAAAAATAAAACAGAAAACTCGTTAGTTATGACACTTTAGCGATCATAGCAGTATAAAGATATTGATAGGTCAATACAAAGTCCATTTTTAATTCGACAGTTTTCGAAATAGCAAATGACCCCGCGTTTCAAGCGCATAATTTCACATCTCAGAGAGTGGCGAATTATGTGCTTCGAGTACCAAAAATACTTATTAAAGGGTATGCACGTGACAGGTTAGGATCTGTACCGGCTAGGTCTCATGTGTAACGAAATTCACCCATGCCGATATATCTAATTGAAAAAATTATAGAAAATTGAGTAATACAAAAGTAATGAAAATACAATTTCCTTTCTGACGGTCTGAGAATTTAGAATCATTGCTTAGACAAAAGCAGACGTGCCTTCTTTTGTATATAATGTATGTATTAGTGATTGCATGCAAAGACAATGATTCATCTATATTCGTTAAGTTTAATGCAATAAGGATATAACAGGTTGGTTTTTCTTTTTTTATCTTTGCTTACTTTATGAGTTTGCAGAAATCGTTGAAAAATGACACGTCATACCATACACAAGAATCAATACCGCAGTAGTTATTAACTTTATTTAACATTAAGCATGATTAATTGATTGGTATATGGTAATATATTGCCTTATGAAATGAACGAATGATTCTGTGGCAAGGACTATAGAAATAAGACAACGTCGCTAAAAATGAAAGCAGCATATTCCGGACACATCAATTTCATATGTTTTAAATGACAAAATGTATTTCTATTTGGCATATACGTACTTCTATAGATTATTTGTATAGTATTGATGCTGCTCATTTGTCCAAGATCGACACGCCACCAAGCAGTCTTAGGACTTCCATCTGTCATCGTGTGTGTACAACAATTAGACTCTATATTTGTAGTTTCACATCCGTCCACAGCTGCTCCTGCCAGCCATTTATAGTCAAAATAGTCACTACTTTGCTCAGCAGTCTTCAAAGCAGCGATATTGCCTTTAACAAAAGATGGAGAAGATTTCTTATAAATAGATGATAAATAACTTCCTGTCATCATCGCATAATTTGTGTGAGTATGTAATATTTAACCCTTTTTTTAAATCACCGGCTAATTTAAAATAATTTGGAGCATTATCAATGAACTTCCATGAAAATTAATCTAGAGTTTTTTTTTCGAAACCAATTATAGATGCCATTCCTAATTATGCAAGACCTCTTATGCATACTCGTACTTGGTAATTGGAGTGATGAATCTGTTATAAATGAGACATTCTTACATAAACATACAAAATCAATCAAGAAATGATACAGTGGCAAGTACCTTGTAGCTGTATTTGCACTCAACACCCATAGCCTATAATGTATTTGCAACACGACTGTTAACTCATGTTCAATGATTATCAAATCATAGAAAGGGCAATTGATGTGTCAGTAAGATTACTAGTTGTAAAATTTAATATTACAATTTCCTCCCCGATAACGATAACATGGTATGAAAAAGAAAACAAAATGCAGGAACTTGCGATATATGTATACTGGACATTTTGTACACGATAACTCTAATCACAAAATGTAAATTTGGACATATAACATGTGTAGGTCATGACTATAAAATTTCAGAGAGAAGAAAAGAAAATAACTAACATGACTTAGGTCAATTGATAATTTTCATCATTTTACAAATAGACGTGAATGTCTATAGCTTAAGAATATTTTTATATAAGACGGACATGCTTATTTCATTATGACCAAACAACCCTTCCAAAAACGTTGTTGGAGAGTTACCGGAACAAATTTAAGCAACCTATTTTTCTGACAGCAGACATCATAATTTGGGAAGGTCAGTTAGAAAACCTTATATATTTATCTATTTCATATAGTTTTTACAAAGGTTATCGAGATTAGTATTTGAATTTCTCTGACATAGAACGGTAACAATACACTTTCCATGATAAAAGGCAAAACTGGCAAAATGCATGTTTTCGTCATTTTATGCCTGAAAACATTGGAATGGATGTAAACTGAACCGTGTTTTGATATATTCAAAAATGAGAATTATCATCCTATTTTGTTTAGATTCCTCCGATAAAGAATAAAAAGTCAACCCATATTTTATCATTGTACATGGATTAAAGATTCGACCTGTTCCAACTCAGCGTATTGATGCCTGGAATCTAATTTGGATTATAAAAAAGTTATACATGTTTGTTCCAGTGATCATAATCGCAAGCAAGTCCTATTCTGTCACTCTCTACCGAAAGTGGTTAATGTGAATATTTGTCTACTTAAGAGGACAGTCAGGAAGTTTCCCATCCAAGAAATTATTAGTTAGCTTCACCAAATCACTAGTCCCATGACCAGGAATAGAATATATTGTAGTGTTTTGCATATATTTAGCGACTGTCTCAGTACGACGGGGTTATATCTTTTGTATTTACTCAGCGTCTGTCCATGCACAAATTGAAAGAATTACCTCAATGAGACAAAAAACACACAAGTCAACATCACTTCTCATTACAAATTTAGAATTTTATACAGCAATACTAAATGATAGATTAACCAACATCCTACAACTGTTGACTCGCCAGTGATGCCAAGGGCTTAAATACAGCTGAGGCAAATCCTGATTGATTATGATGAATATTTGTAGAAATGGACAGGTTTGATATGCCTTCTTTTGAAAGGTTTTCTATTACCACACTTCTGTCCCTAATATCTCACGGTGTATTGACGAGATTTACTTTTTTCTCCGACGCACGTAACTTTATAAAGGAATTACTCATGCACACTCACTATACCTCCTACAAGATATAGCGCCAGGTGTCAGAATTGACACAATACAAACCATGTTCGCTTCCGTGCGTTTGTTTTCAATAGGTTATGCTAGCTTGTGTGTTTAAGTGGAAACGCAAAATAAGATGGGGAGGTGCACTAACCCTATAATTTAATTTTGTAATTTTCCATATATCTGATAATTTCAGAAGAAAGTCACAACATGTATTTATTCTGAATTTTGAAACATCATCTTTATAAATGGAATTCCTACATGTAAAATAATTCAGGCCCAGTCTGTGTAAGCGGTATATGGATGACACATTAGAAATAGTTTTTAAAAAGTCACAAAAAGATTTGACGTCTCATATCAATACAGTAAATACCACCAACAGCATGAACTTCACATGTGAGAAAGAAATCAATGGCGCTATGCCATCCCTTGATACCCTCCTAGTAAAGAAAGCTGACGGTATTATCTAAGTATTGGTCTATAAGGACAAGACCCACACAGACTAATACCTCAACTTCCGTTCTCACCAACATTACACCAGAAATTAGGCGTTTTACGAACCATGCTCAACAGTTGTGAAACGATTGTCACAGAAGAACAAGACAAAACCACATCCATAGCACCATCAACATGTGGATACCCTGATTAGGCAATCCAGAAAGTAAACGATGAATCTGATGTAAGCGAAAAAGATATAAGAGATGAAACACCAAGAAAAAGAACAAAACGAAAGAACAAGTTGTCATCTCTGTTATCAAAAGCCTCTCAGAGACCATTCAGATAATTTACTATGGTCATGGCTTCGCAGAGGCCTTGAAACCTCACAAAACGCTCCGAAATTTCCTAGTCCACCCTAATTATGAAACACCCAAAGAAAACGCCGCAGAATGCGTATACAAAATCAGATGCAAGAACTGTGTAGCATCATATATCGGAGAAATAGGCAAGAGATTCGGGGTCCGACTAAATGAACATTTGAAAGACGCAGAATTCCAAGAAGGCAAAAATTACTACAACAGACCGAAACATTCCCTGATCAATAAATCTGCACTTACATGTCTTTCCACACAGTAAAATATTATCATTGACCGGGAAAATTCCTGAACAGTCGACAGGAAAAACCACCTTTTTTGATGGTTGATTAGGGAAGCCATCAGGTTACGCCGCAGCGGGCCAGTGCTTGAGGTGACCACACACTCTCGCACATCTATTCCCTAGTGTTAAATAAAGCGTAGTCGGATTGACTACAGTACATTGTTACCATCTGGTGTAATGTCTGGTTTATAATATGTTTATCACGAGAATACTAGTACGCTCCACACTGGTCATATTTCTGATGAAGGTGACCGTGTAGTCATCAAAACGTCACTCTTAAACCTTTTACTGGTTGTGTTATAATATCTTCTATTCTTCTGTTATACTAATACTGACATTCTATATAACGAACTTGTGTCCTATTACCTAAGAAAGCTGTATGATTGATTAAAGTTCGAACTCTCAAATCTTATCAGATTTCGTCCATTTATTACTCACCATCAGCACTGGTCCTGGTGAAAATGCCAAACAGGAGAACGAACACATTTTTGCTAAACAGCACTCGTTTGAACGCCATTACATATCAGAAACAAGGAAGTACAAGGCATGTTCTGACTGTGTCTTTTTGTGTTATTTATAGAACGTGCAGATCATAGTTTGATATCTAGCGAGGACAACCACTGAATAAGGTATAAACATTTTGTAAACATTCCAAGTGGCCGAGACGCTTGAAACGCCATCCAAAAATAGCTCAAAACTGCACTTAAAATTTCTACGATGTAAGGGGAATAATTCTTATTATTGTCATGTGAAATGTGAAGTGCTGGTTTACTGAGTTACGTTTGTACGAAAAAATTGGAAACAACATGTAGATATGAATCGATTTATATGAGAAAGTTATATGATAGTCATCATTTTTCTTTTTTGTTTATGTTTAAGTATTTTTTGCTTTTGTTTTCTATTGAACTTATTTAAGTTTAGTAGTTATTCAATAGTATGGCATAATACAAGAAATAACATGTAATCTGATATACATTTTCTATCACAGTTACATTATGGACGATCTCTCCCTTTCTGTCTATCGTTATGTCACCAATGGTTTTTCTCTCATCTTCCGCTGGAAGCCAAGTCTATATTAAGGAAAATATTTTTTTTTGTGACAATATCATCATGGACAGATATTTGTTTTAACGTTTTTATTCTTTGTGAGGGTTTTTTGAAGTGTTGTTTGGAGTTGTATTTTCAAAGTATTTCAATAATATCCCATAAAATAACTATGAAATTGTCATTCCTGAATTTGTTATTGAATTTTGTTAAATTGATTTTAAAGTTTCAGTTCTTCGATCAACGTTAGTTTCATTATCTGGTGCGTATGTGCATGTAGGTGCTTGCACAAACAAAGACTTCAGTATCAATGATGATAATTGCCGTACATTTGCCATTGTCATTATCCACCACGGAGTATATCTATAACAGATTCACCCAGATTATGTTTCCAAACTAACCACTTTTAAATGATACATATAACACGTCTAAATATAATTGATTGATTTCATTCTTAAACATTAAACGTACTTACAAGCACCACTACAGTACTGATGTAGCAAATCATGCCATTTGCATCTGATAATAGATGATCCAGTTCTGAGCCTTTCATCTCAAGAACAAGCAATTAATTTATCACCATATTTCTTGAAGTAAGTAACAGCGAAATACTGATAGTGATTTCATATCCTAATATTACAACGAGGAACATTTTTTTAAGGGATTTATTTATAGAAACAAAGCATGCAGGAATATTCGTGAAAAGATGCCTAATAACATAAGTTTAGAACTGATGAATGTGCTGTATTATTCGTCAGAATATGGTAAGTACCATACTGTCAAGGCATACATGTGTAATAGCGGTATGCAGTTGGATGTGTTAGGTGTTCGTGATAACAATATACTCGAATGAAAACAAAACATTATTTACTTGGATTTAACAACATTGACATGGTAATTGTCGTCGATAAAACTCGATTATCCTTCCAGAACATCTTTGTTCATATGGTGACATTGTTTCTACGAACTTGAGGTTTGAAATCAGATTCTCATGTCTATCGGGATTTTTTTCTTTTTTATGTACCGATAATTGCAATGTCTCACAAGAAAAAAATTGCATTTCATAATAAGTACACGCCTATTTCTGTCTTAATATATGAGTGGTTTTATTGTTTGTTGTTTTTGATATTGTTTATAAACATATATATAAACGATTATGAGACTGAGGAAACCAGCAATATTGAACTTGTTTGGCATCATAAGCTGATCATAAGATGAATTACGACACAAAAGAAATATATTTACGTATATGGACTTAACGTGAAGCTAGAAAATTTAACCATAACCAATATAAAGTAGCATAATTCTTTGAAAAAAATCACATGTTTTATATAAAGAAGATATGGTTTGCTTTCATCGCATCATCTTGATAATTATTGAACAGCATGATTAATACATCATCTGATTTTTATAATCAATAGGACTTCGCGTAAAAAACGTAGTTCATTTTATTGAGTATACATGTTTTATTAACTTGCATTCACGTTTTTATGCTATCCCGCTATTCATAGTCGGTTTCTCATCTCAAGTTTGACCACTGAATCTGTTCGGGAAACCCCTCTCAAATTTAAGGCTGATAATATCAAATTTGAAACGAGGTAATTTATCTGAAACATATAGTGCCACTGTACGTAAACACTTGGATTTTTTTCGGCAATCAATTTTTTATGGACAAGAAGACGTTGTTTCATAGCTCAAGTTTAATTCAGAATTAAGGAACAAGTGACATTAATAGCCATCGTTTCTGAAAATGTCCGGTCACACACGTATTTTACACAGCATGCAAAGCTTTAACCTAATTCCACTTGATCAGACCGTCAGTCAATGCAGCAGAATACACGCATTTGGCCATACCTCTTCAACCGAATCATCTTGGAAGGCATTCCTGTTCACTGATGTGGTGTTGTGTGTATGCGTTATCATATTTGATCAACGGAGAGAGATTCTTCTTATATAACTATGACTTAAATTCTTTATATTTCAATGGAAACGATCTCAACACTGTCACTAACAATAATAATTAAACAGCCAACATGTTCTACCGGGATGTCACTTTATGGAATTTTCTGTTTTATATCTTGCTCTGAGAGGTAAAAACGCACGATTTAATCTTATCATTTACAAAAGATTGTGTGACAAAATGTTCACAAAACGAATTTACTAGGTCGTAGCTTTAATATTAAGAATAAATAAATTTAGATAATAATCCAAACTCAAATTCAATAATAAAAATGAACAAAATTTTAATAAAATCAAAACTTCAAATGGTAAATAAGCAAGTACATTGATAATAAAAATAAAATATTCGGGAAGAGTAAGCGTCTACCACTTCTCCTATGACATCCACCATGCAAATATTGGTGAAAATAAGTAAGAAGTAAATAAGGAATTCAAATGTCTTCAGAAATAATTAATAAAGGCAAAAACCAAATGTTATTTTGTTCTTTATTTCCAGTCTTCTTGTACACAGATCAAATTATTTCACAGATCTGGCTAATACATCCTCTTTCATTCTTCCTTTATGATACTTTACAAAAACATGATCACATCGAAACTTCGAACATTGTTTCTTATATTTAGTTACATTCTCCTTCAACAAGAACATATAAGTTATGAGTAAACATGGTAATAAGAAGTTAGGAACTATTTCGTAGTAGTAATTGATTATAGTATTAACTTATTAATACATGAAAGAAAAGTTAGGGTTAAAAAAATCTTTCAATCACATGAGCTGTTACCAAATTAGGAGTAATACAAAGGTATTTACATCTGATTGGTGCAAAGTATCTTATTGATCGTTATAAAACATACATGTATGTATACATATAGTGGAACAAACAACTCAAAATATCAATTGAAATAAATTCTCAAGGAGTCAAACAATATCGCAAATACATATCGGATGCTAACATACAACGTTTGTTAATATCTTGTATAAAATATGGACTAGCAATAATGTTGAGTGATTATACAGATAACAAAGATTGAAAAGCGCGTATAGTCATTACTGAAACTACATAATCCAATGTATCTAATAAACCATAATAACTCGCAAGAGATCCCAGAGGGATTTCCACGCCTACCGTAGTTTCATTTTGGTTACTCTGTATCGATTGAGCCTGTTATTCTTATTTACATTTTTTCTAATTTGCTCTTAATTGAAGTTGAATTTACATGTGGACATCAAACCACCAACTACTCTACAAAAAAGAATTCTTAACATGTCTCAATTAGAAGTGACAGCACATGGGTCTTTTTCAAGTAGTCCGAAATCTATCAGCACGACTAGGTAACATGATGAGTCTTCAAATAAAATTATAGTGTGATTCATTCAGTAACGTTCAATGAATCATTTAACAAACGTTATCAAGATCTAAATTGGCTGCCTGCTTGTTTTTCTTGTCACGAGGGACAAAAGAAACCTTCATATCAAATAACCATCTAGTACTTATTATTAATATTGCACGCAGTTTAGTTCAATTTAACAATTTTTTTATAAGCGGCCAACTTTTACCCAGGTTTGATTTTAAGACACAAAAATAATATGAAATAATATGTCAACAGAAACTTGTGGTTGAACACATTTTGAAAAACAATTACAATGTATGATATCAAAAATAGAAAACAAAAGTAAATACGTTATCATACAATGTATATTGAATTTATTATTCATAATAAATATATCTATGTAAGATATGCCCTGGATATTGTTAATTATCATAATGTAACCAATATTACTTTGGATGGAGCAATAGCGGTGGGGTATTTCTTTAGATGCTTTTCAATGTACATCAACTTGGACATTGATCTCTAACACATAAGATCACTTATACATGATATGTGTTTTGCACGTGATCACCTCCTTTGTCTTTACTCATTGGTCAGTGGTCTGTGGCTAAAGTAGGGTTGATCAGTGGGGGTGGCTCCAACTGGGGCACACATTGGTCATAATCCCTGTTATGTCCTCAAAGGTAACTTCGGATGTTAGCCCAACAACCGACCACGTAGGGCACTCGTGTTAGATACGCGTGTCTATTCAGTTTTGTTAAAAGGTTTTTGAGGGAGTCTTTATATGTTCGTATAAAACTCTTGTCATTGTTTTTCAATTCTGTTGCAATGGATGTCAGGAGGTTTTCAAGAGTTTTCCCAGATCTCCCGAGATTTATCTCTGGTTTTAAACCCTTGGAGTTCCGATGATTGTACCCATCTTTGCTGCTCTTCAGTATTATCAATGAATATTGACAACAAATAATTGATACAGTTCATGTCAACATATGTAAATATGTATCTGCATTTAAATTATCAAATCATTAATAAATTACAATTTACACTACGTTATTTTTTTATTGTCATTAAATTTATTGGAGGACAGCAGCAAACAAATCGCTGACCAGGGTCAGGCTGACATAGATGTGTATGTTTGTGCGTGTACTTACATTATGACGTCAGAATTTAGGACATTGACTGGTTACACTCTCGATATTGGATACTTTATTTCTGTTTGAAGAATTTTATAAAAACAACATCGAAAAGAATGTTAAGATTTTAAGAGATTGGCAGCGAAACTTGATATTGCTATCTTAAATTTGAGAACCAGTTATTTACTCACATACAAATGTACGGGGAGAAACAAGATAGCCAATTTTATCTAGAAGTCATATAAATGTATGTATTATTCTGAAAAAGAGAGTGTCATTATTTAATGACAATAATTATTATTGTTTATATAATTATATTAACTTACATGTATAAGTGTATTTTTTTAATCAAAGGGAGTGAACTCTTACATAACTGTGTATGTGTTTTTATTTAGCACCCATGAAACCTGTTTGTCTAGGCTCATAGGTCAGATCTATTTTTATATGTCAAACTGACCATGGGTCAGTGCGTTCCCGCCACCCTTACTCTCGTATAAGACGTGCTCCAGTGGTTTTCCTTGAATATTTCAATTTCTCATATCCGGTTGCTAGATGTTTGTCCTTAATTTACTAGAGTCACTCCTACGCCTTCATCGTTTGTGAAGAGGCAAGTTTCCTTTTTATTTGTGTTAATAATAATGAATTTCAATTATTATTATCAATGTAGTTAACCTATAAGTGATATATTGACGAGTGTATATAATCGTGTGTTTTTTTAAACATTGTAATAACGACTGGGTTATCCAGAATAATATATTAGTAAGGATTTGCTAGTCATGCGTAAAGATTGTAACTTGAGCCAATTGCGTAAATGCATGTAGTTATAATAATGTATGATTCATTTGTTGTTATGAATTAAAATATGTATGTTTCGTCGTATATTTTACTATGCATATTTATTTGTTAATTTAGGGTAACTTTTACCCTTCAACAATAAATGTTGAAATGGATCCAGAACTTGGAGTTGCCGTATAACGAAGGAGACCCCTAGTAAGACACGGTTACTTTATCAAACACTATTGAGTATCAAATCCAAGTGTCCAAGTAACGATGATGATATCAAACTTTTGATCATTTAATGATTATGATATAATTCTCCGTATATTATAGTTGATCAACCAAAAAATGCTTTGTTAGTTCTAATATCTTTGGGATGGTTGTGTAGCGCAGTGGTAACGCACTCGCCTTCCACCTAACCGTCCGGGATTCGATTCCCGGAACGGACATGAAAAGGTGAGGGTTCACCTGGCCATCCACGTGGGTTTTCACCGGATACTCTGGTTTCCTCCCACAATAAGTTAATGAAAACAATATTAAGTTTTAACAGATTGCTTCAATAACAAAGTTTGTGTTATGTAATTAACATTAAACCATCACACAGCGTTATCATTTTATATATTGATAATTATATAAGGATAATTATTCCTATTTGAACTGACGCTGTTGTGGACGATTTCAAGAACAGATAAAAAGCTGAGAACATGACTTGGTATAAAAATGTAACCCAAATGATGATCTTATTGTTAGTAAACACACACACACACACACACACACACACACACACACACAACCTATTGAAAAAATATATATATGTTATCATATGCGTGGTAATGGAATATTCCGACTTTAAGCTAAATCTAATTTGGCCTCACCTGACACGTAAGAGCACTGGTCATAGTCTGACGATACCAGAACTCAGATTGTGTGTTTGTAAACATGCGGAAATTATTCAAATCAGTCTACAACGGCGTTAATTTGAATTTGTCGCACTCATATGCTGTTTTGATTTACAAGTTTGTCCTATATTCATGTCTATGAATCAAGGTAACAAGGCCTTTTTGAAATCTGATGATTTCCTGCAGTGTCGGTTCATTTACATGTCTGTGGTGTCCATGGAACCCTCTGTCATGTCAAGGAAATGCAATGCGTTGATGTTTCAGTTTATGTACACATCCGTGGTGTCCATATAGTCCCTTATGATATTGTAGCAGTACTGGTACTGGTCCTGGGCAAAAACAATTACCAACATGTGAATTGGTACAAAATAACACGTATAATCAGTCCTAGCTGATATTTATTAATTTATTATCAAGTGCAAATGGAAAAAAATGTTACGGGTGCATAGTTTGCGAATTGTCATAATAACATCATTTATCGCTCGTTGTCTACATAATATTTAAAAACTAGTATAAACATTATGTGTAAATTATTTTGGGCTATTGGCGGAACAAGTTACTGATTTTAAAAGCGACGATCTTCTTTCTAATCATGGTTTGATGTTCTATTAGACAACGCCTCCTAGTATTCAGTTTTTTGTTGTTGTTTTTTTATAACCATGAATTCCACTTCATTATAGATATGTATGTCATTGAAAGCACCCAATATGAAACGAATATAGAGATAGATATGTTTCAGAAAAGAAACATGTGCAAGTTTTCCTGTACTTACGAAACACGTAATGAATTCCGGACGTCTCGCAAGGAGCTGGCGAGAAATCTGAAATATGTCTACTTCGTCATCAATCTTCATTTGGTCTCTAGCACTACTGATACAACAGAACAGACCGCTCTGTGTATACCCATCTCTGAAACGTAAAGGACACAAGTATATCATATAGAGATTTTAACATATAAAGACTTTTAACCCTATCATGCTTAAAACGAAAATAACTTTGCAAAAAAAGAAAACACAAAAAATGTCCTTCTTAAGCGAATCGAAGGTCTTTAGTGTTCTTGAGTCATTATCGCTTTAAACCGTCACGTTTGCTGATAAATATCACCTGAGGAGTTTTATTGTGTTATAAGGAGTTCATTTTATTTACCTGGAAATGAGCCTTCAGTTTAACTAGATTAACAAATTTGTTTTTCTTGTTTCACACTATACATTTCCGTTCGGCCCTCTCAATTTTGAATGACTGAAAGTGGCGCGAATAAACTCTCAATGACGTCACATTATGTTAGCTCTAACGCGTAGTTGTTTGATGACAATCCTTAATTAGATCACTAAATTTATCGATATATGTGTTTATTTTGGTTTAGAAATACATTTAAGAAATTAATCACAAGCTTTAGGAGGAATATATTTTAGTTTGATATTGGCACATGTACGACAGAATAACCGATTTTCAATATCATGCGCATTCATTCACTTTGCAAGTCGCACTTACTTTCATACCAGCATGAAACTAAGATATTTTCATATCACAGCGTAATTGAAAGACGACATAAATACTAGAAAAGGGAGGTTGGATCATTTTAGTTTTTTTATACTGATTATCGGATTGGGATAAATCGAAACAATATTTTTGTTTAATTTGATGACATAATGTTCGTTTGCATTGTATTTATTGTCATCAGAAAACAAAGAAGATGTTGTCATCAAATGTATTGGAGATGTCGGTAATATCACCTACCGGCACATGACAACCGTCGTTTTAGTGTCGTCCGATTTACGCCTGCTGTCGACAAGTTCTAGTAACTGAAGCAAGGTTGACGAATCCTGAGGGACTGATAACTCTTGATTCCAACCGGATAGGTGAAACACTCGAATATTGGTGCTTGAATCATTATCCTGAAATGTATGAGTTATAAATTCAAGCTTAAGATACAATGTCCACGTACAGAATGTTAATTACAATGTATATTCCAATATACAACACTAGCACTTTTCTGGTATAATATTAGACTTTTGCATATGTTGGGGTATAGTGATATTCCACCCGAGGGGTCATAAAATATGTTAAAGCACGAGGCCTTGCCGGGGGGTTTACCACCTTGTTTTACTTCAAGGGTGAAATAGCCCATCATTCACTCTGTCATATATAAGAGCACCTTTCTTCCATTTTCCATTCTAAAATATTGGGAAACAAAGCTTCATAGGTCAACAATGAACTACAGAGGACGCTATATCATACCAAATTTATATTTGTTATTATGCAATTAATTGACTTATTGACACAGAAAATAAATTCTCCGTACCTGCATTAGCCAAACAAAATTAAAACAAAATTGAAACAAAAAATTGTACACAAATGTGTATACGTAATCAGGTGACGTCATCAGTTGGGAAGGGACATGCTTCTATTGCAAGAGTGGGTGTGTAATGCAAGAACAGTGAACCTAGGTGTAATGTCCTGGATATTACACAGGTAGAAACGAGTGAATAGGAGTAAAATACATATATCTTAAATGTTGTTATTGCAATTATCTGTTTCTACAATAGACTGAGTAACCTTGTTTGAGAGGTCTTTCTTAAATACTTCTGTTTACACAGAATCTGTTACCTTGTTGGTAATTTCAATTTCAAGCAAATCGACGTTTGCTATTGTGGACAATTTCCTTTTGTGCTCTAGTGTATAGTCACCAATGGTTTTATTCTCACCGATCTCCGGAAGCCAGTCCTAAAGCATACAAATGCATCACATCTGCTTACAATTATATCATTATTAAATGCAAAAATGCATAAGGCTTTGTATATAATGTTTATGCCAGAAAAAAGATTGGGTTGTTTGAAGTATATCTTCGGTTCTAGATTTTCTTTGAATATACCATCTGACTTGATTTGCTGTTGGTATTTTATTTTTACTCTTTGAACAGAAAGTTTCGGTTAATTAGCATCTGTAGTTAGATTTACCATTCTTTATATTGTCTCATTTATAAACAAGTACGTTTCTGTATACTTACAATAGTGTCAGTATCTATGATGACAATAGCTGTACAGTCGTGATCCATTGTCATTGTCAACAGATCTACTACGGTGTCTTCCATAGGAGTCTGGGTGACGATATACCCAGTTTTGGATGTGTAGGACTAAATTAAAAGTAATATAACGACGATTGGCACCTTATTTTGAGAAGGAAAATCTTTACAAATATACTGTATGTAGGACAACTGTTCAGTAACATATGAAACTCTTTCGAAGACTTCGCTCTCGTGATTGCCAACGTTGAAATACAGTATATTCTTGATTTAATTATAGTTTTTACAGTACCATGATACGGATTGGCTTGACTTTCACTTTACTTTGATATGTTTCAATATATAAATATAAAATCACATTCTACAAATTTAAGATATAAAAATTCATTTTTATCGGAATGCCCATCTCAACAAAACAAGACATTGACGAATCACTTCTAACAGTTGTGCTCTTGGAATACTACTCTTAATTCTAAAAATATTAGCCAATGATAGAGAAAGTGGGTTTAAACGACCGACAAAAGGCATCACAAAATGATGCATAACTTTCATATGGAAAATGTGAGTTTTTGAAAGATTCCAGCTATCACTGTTTCAAGGCTAGTAAATCAAATAAATAATCACATCTTAAAAGAATTATACAATACCGAATGTGTATTAGGAATCTAGTGCCGATAGGCATGTAAAAACACAAGATATAAATGATAATAGACAAATTATCAATATCTTCTTTCGTAAATAATTTATTTTACATAGAATTCATTACCTAATTGCATCACTGACCGTTTTTTTTTTAAACATGTAGCTAACTTAACATACCAAAACGAGCATGTATCAGTGCAAATCATAAACATTTAAAGTACTTACAGGCACCGTTATGGCATTGATGTAATCTGTCCTACCATTTGCATATGTTCGTAGGTAGACACGGAACCTATCCACTAGATAAATGAATAAGAACAGTTGCTTATAATGGAAATAAATGTTAAAAATGTTTAAACTTGGTTTAACAATGGATAAGTTTATGAAAACGTATACTTTCTAAACAGGACACAATTTTGTTTTACAAACCATCTGAACTGTACTTCTTAGTCTGATCATCACGCAAATCTCGTGAATAAATTGTACAGAAGCCAGAAATAGGCAGCACGAGTCATAAGTAAAGTGCTATATGATACATCCTCTTTCAATATAGCTTCTGTTTCAAATTGATAACGGTAAAACGTTAACGATAAAAGTCTTAAACTAAAATAATTTTTGTATTTTTTACAAATGTATCCATATGTTGGTATAACTTTACTTGGGTTTCAGGAAAGCAAACACATCATCACAATTGTTTATATCTGATGTGCAAATCTGATTAATCTACTCGGTCTGACAAAAAAAAAAGATAAAAAAAAAATAAAAACTTGGAAACTCCTTCAGCGGGAAGCTTCTTTTTAGCTTGAAATTGTTAAACGTTCTTGAATAATAGTTTTTCTATATTACATAAATCTCTGTACGGTCTATGTCTGTTTTACTCTGCTTTTTGGCTAACAATTAAAGAAGACTTGGTGTCATTGAACGGCTATACGAATTTGTTCCTTCTACGATATACATATATGTTGGTGTTCGTGGTAATTATATATGTTACATACCTGAAAGGATATATAAAATGTCGGTGCTATTAATGTATGTTACATGTAGTAACGAACCTGCAAGTACAGATGAACTCTTATTCTTCGTCTTGTTCATTGGTAGTAAGGCAGCTTTACAGTCATCTTCGCTGTATTTTGGCTTCATTGTTTGCGTCAACTAATTAAACAATTGAATTCATGTGAAAAACACCAACAAAAATATCAACATGTGAACATATTCATAATCCGAATTGAAAGAACAAAAACTAGGACAAACTAGGAACAAAAAATTACAATGAGACTCTTGAAGTGCAAGGAGAATAAGACAAGGTGTTCTGAAATAGTAAGTGTCTTCATTGTCATCTCTATGTAATCTTTTTATCATACATCACCTCATACTCCCTTCTGAGCTTTGTTTGGTTGGTTGGGCCGCCATTGGCGAGAGTGTTCAGTTTCGTGTTGTACACCATTCTAGAAATAAGTGTGTCCGGCATGTCGAAGGCTTCAAGAAGGAGTTGATGTATAGCTATGTACTGCTCCTATATATAACATGGCCATAATATTACAGGTACATTATGAAAAATGTACTATTGTGAAGTTTGTGTTAGTGATAATACTCACTGCATTACAAGTCGTTGGGGATTTTTTTTTCACAATGAACTATATATACATTGATATTTATTCAATCCAACAACATGTTTTACTTTTTATCATACCATTTTACATGTCAATTTGTCAGCATACATAATCTGATGAAAGTGATTAAAGAAAGGCTAACAAACCGTATAACCATCACTATCGATAATGTCAGTATAAAAACACTTACGGCTGTTTGGACCATGTTGACCCTGTCTTTTCGCATCGTTTTTATGTAATGCATGACGTCGACTCGTCCGAACTCTTTCCCGTAATCCAGAAGAGCATCGAGAGCAAGGAATGTTCCTGTTCTGCCTATACCAGCACTAAGCATAAGCAGATCCACGGTTAATGAGTTATTTGATAAACTGATTTATATTAGAACGGCAACAAAACAGATCTATGAACCATGAAACGGGAAAAAGAACTACAGTGACGATGAACAATGAGAGACATAGAAGCCCATACAATTAATTCTCGACACAGGGATGAGATACACAACTTACAATAAGAAATTATAATTGTAACTAAAAAAGCGTTGGTAGAGAAAAACAGATAAATACATAAACGATTGCTGCTTAATATGGACACATGATCGAAAGCCCACATAAAGACAAGGGAGAAAGAGAAATTGATGGCGATTATAAACAAAAGCACAATACCAAATGATTTGACAATTATTCACAAGGTCATGGTCTTTATCAAAATGAGTATATATACCTGCAATGAACCACCATCTTTCCTGTTAAGGCATTCTGATAATTCTTCACGCGACGATGGAATACAACAAGTTCATTAGGGTCCGGTGTCCCATGGTCGGGCCACGTGGTGTAATGGAATTGATGTACTTGTCGTACGGTCTTCGTCTGATTAGATAAGTAGAAGTTCATTATAAAATAATACTAAACGACAAAGGTATTGATTTCATCAAAGAATATTTATTTCGTGTTTAATATCACCACCGTATATACCTATATAAGGGCAATCAAGTTATAAATTATTTAATTTTTATAACACCGACATGACAAAGTTTCTAATCCTAAAATAATATATGATGTTATTTTTTTATTCATTACTCTCGTTGGTTCAAGTGGAAGCGCAACAAAGGTCTAGCTGTAATAGAAAATCGAACTACTCGAAAGAAAATATATGGCCGGACAGGTGAAAAGCACATGCATTATTACCACACTACCCGAGCACCCGCTGATAAAAATAAACAAAGCAGAAGGATACGGTCGAATAGTCAGTTAAGTTAAAACAGCATAATCACTACACCTTCTTTTCAGTTACTGTAAGATCCCGGATGACATAAAAGGCATAAGATCGTTCCCTATCCAGGATGATGTTGAAATGTGTAGTTGACATTGGTTCTCCCTCATCTGGCCAGTATTTATCACATTTAGGCTGAAATTTCGATAAAACACACAAAAAAACCCATGATAGCCATTGAAAAAAACATTATTGTTTGAAAACAATTTTGCAGTAATGTTTATTGGAGGTTTGACATAACATTGTTTTTATATTTCTTCAGAATTACACATTCGAAGCTACTCAAATTTTCACTTATTTCATTCTTATGTTTCTGTATGCTTTTAAAATGTTGCTTTGAAGTTCAACAGTACCGTAGTATATTTTGTTATTTTAAACGAAATGTTTTACCTTTGCTCCTTCTACCAGATTGGTCAACATGGCAATTTTGCCAGTCCTAAGTTGCCAGATCATACGCCAAAAGTCGTTAACAGTTCCAGGCCTTGGACCTGTTCAATATAATTATTATTGAATTGAATATGTAAACATTTGAATAGTTCAGTTAGGATAAATAATATTTTCGCCTTGTATTTTATAATTATTCTGTATTTTTGACATATCAAAGTACAGCAAAAACTAGACATGTGACTTACAGGTTGAATGTTGACAGCCACTAATAGCGGTGTCATCACGGTCAAGCCATTGGTGGCATTGATATGGAACCGTTGACGTGCTAAAGTTTTGGGGTCACATTAAAGTAAAGCCAAACAAAATCTTTCCTTTTTTCTAAGTTTTTCTTCAAATTTATATAAAGGCAGCAGAGTTGAAAGTGTTGATAAGATAATTAGTGTGAAAAGGCGTTTTGCAACTTTCCTACCTTGTGTAGCGACATATTCTGCAGTTTTTGTGGCGCTCTGTAACATAAAATATTTTAAATTCTAATACACAATTTCATGCATAGGTGACAACGAATTATTGCTGCGGACAAATTCAAATATACACTTCTCCATACGTTTGGAACCACCAAGTCTAATATGAAAATTTTGATAAAAACTTATTTATCTTTGCAGAAGTAGGTCTTGTTGAACACCTTGAGTACCTTTTGTACTGGATGCCGCATGATAAACCTAACGATAACTTGGATTTAAATTCCAGCAAATAACTGTTATTGGTAAATCATACATGTGATCGTACTGTATTGAAAACTGGCACATCGTAGATTGACATATGTTGAAAATGGCAAGCGTATGGACAGGTTCAAGACCGTAAGACATACGGACAAGAAGTTGCATGTTTTAATGTTGGGTCGGCCATTATGTTATATTATGTTGATGCATGGCTGTATACATCTTGAAGGGTGGATTTAGCATCAGGATCGAGAAACACTGGCATATGTATTTTTGTTTTGTTTTGTTTTTTTTTTTTTTCATTTTTAATTTTAATAATAATTGAACTATATGGGACCGAATGGATTAACCAGCTCTGAAGGTTTATCCATTTCCTGGCATAGTTTTCGACGGAATCCGTAAGCATGTTGCAATTCATATTTCAATTAATGGACGGGGTTTCAAGATGCTTTAACCCTTCTAAAACTCTCGTAGCTTAACATTTTGTATAAGTCTAAGTCGTCAAGTGCGGTGTGTCTGATAGGGCACTAGTTATAAGTAGATGTAGAATAAAAATAAGCTGACGGAAAGTGGTTCTTATATCAACTTAATCAGTTGCAGTTGAAATGTAATGATACAATGGCTTTAGAATAACTACGAAATTAAAGGTGTATTTCTGAATTGAAAGTGTGTAAGAAAGATAGCTTGAACGAATTTATGGCGTAAAATGTTGCTAATGTTAATAGTATCCACTCACTCAATAGTAAGAGACGACACAACTTGTGTATAGCTTGTAATAGAAGTGAGGTGTTTTACCTGATGTTGGCATTCTATTCACATAAAAAGTTGATGAGTCAATCTTTCTGATCAATTAACTTTTGGTAATTTGATGACTTTTCTGCTAATATGAAACAGTTAAAGTCAATATTTTTTCTAGATTTTGGTAATGCCTTTTTAAACACGTGTGTTGATACAGGACTTACGGTTCCATAAATGTCTATTCCTGTCGATTGTGTATAGTTTCGTTGATAATTTGAAAAAAAATCCTATATATCCTGTAAAGTTGTCATTGAAAATGTTCCTTGAAAACAAACCTAGGCCCTAATTTTAGATAAGAGTGGTCCCTAATGACCAACTGTATATACGAGATCATAAACAAGCGAAAACCCGAAAAATGATTTTGTTTCCATTATCAATGTCTAGATGACTTTGAAAACAAATTATACTTACATCAATATAATTGGCATTGATATAGTCTGAGTGCGGGTCGTTCCCAACTGTGCCAAGGATTACACGAGAATGGTCATCTGTTGAAGAAGAATAAAATGAATATCATTATATTAGTTAGATTTATCTAGATGACTAGAAGGAATGAATATGTACAATACAAAACTTAGATATTTTTCATATTTATTTGAAAGCAATAATTCATATCGTTCTACTAATCTAAGATCCAAGTATATACTCGTGCACTTTCTTTTCTTTGTCTTTTGGATAACAAACATGAGATACTCACAGGGAAACGTGGTCTTAAATCGATTTTTGGCTTTGTTTTGTTGAAGCATTCCAATTTTATGCTCATGTAAAGCTCCATATGGTATAGACTACAATGAACATGATATATATATCATATATGGATAGTGAATTGATATATAAAAATAGAAACGACATGCAAACAGAATCTTAATTCAGATTCGATGAAACTAGTGCAAAATATCATCAAAAGACAAATAAGGTGTTTTCGCGTCACTGACGACATCCAAACCAAGTAAGTGTCGTCATTTTCCCAACAATTCAAAATCTCAATCAATGAAATCATAAAAAAAATTACGATTTTATCAGTCACCAACACCTTCCAAGAAAATTGTGATATTGGGAACAGGGGATTCAATATCGAATAAATTACGACACCGTAAGTTGAAAACGTAGAGCTGTTGCTATCCCGAAATGGACAATTCATTGTAGGAATTGAACTCATGACGCTTATCATACAGCTTGGTGGAAAGTTGGATCGAGGTGTCGTGTTCTTTATTTTATATTCCCTAAGTTAAAGTTAGTTAGAAAAGAAAATAGCATGAACATAAATAAAAAAGTAAAACGTACTTTAATTATTTGGTGCATTATAAATTATGTAATGGTGATAAAAAATAGACAATTGATTACATATAAATGTGATCAGACATAAATACTTTTAATAAAGAGCATACCTTGTATTCAATCTCGAAGGCTTTTGACTTGTTTTTCATCTTAGCAATTACTAAAGACTTGAGGTCAGAAACAGGAAATCCAACAGGACCGGAATTGTAGTAGACGTTATCTCCAATGTCTGATTTCCTAGACACATTTTCAGCATTGACGTATACGTTGGCGGAGTCGTTTGGTAGTTCGTCTGGTTTTTCGTCAGGCACTGCATTTAGGTTCAACATACAAGGTATGTATATGTGTGTATGCGAGGGTTCATTGTGTTTTATTCAGAGCAAACAATAGTTTATTATTTATCAATAGTTTCAACTTAATGTATAGAGTGTGATACCGTTACTCAAAATACAGACAAAATCTTATAGCTTGGAAATATGGCGAGTAAGATTTTGCTATTTAGCAGAAAGGAAATTGTCTCCATTTTGCTGTCCTAGGTGAAACTAAAAAATGTTCATCATATGCTATACATGTAAATCAATAAATGATAACATTTTGAAAGTTAGTAAATCGTGACTATGATTGATTATTTCAATACCCAGCGGGTAACCTGCTGAAATACATTATACAAATAAGTTTAAAGTACTCTGCCAAGGGAAAAACATATCACCTAAAGCATTGCTATAGACGTTTCTTTCAGCGATACCACTGTCAGCATGCGAGTCTACTCGCTCTAATGGTTGGTCGTACACATTCCCATCGTAGTCTTTGTGATGACCTATATCATCGAAGGAGTCTTGTTTACTGGCACTCAGTCGCCGTCTATATATAGAAGGTGAGTAATTGTAAAACATGAATCATATCAAGATCAGAAATATCTTGAATTTACCAGTTTCATAGAAAAAACCGACAATGATGGAATAGTCGAAAAAGAGTGATTGTCTTCACATTTTGTTAAACGCTTGAAAGTATTAAAATGAATACAATGAATTACACAATGAATATTTTTATCTCCATTTTTGACATGTTTCATGAGGTTAATACTAAACTGCATTTTCTAATACGATTCTTTATCTGAAAAATATATATCTCTTTTGTTTGCAAATTCAGATAAGTCGTGAACAAGATACAAATTAATTTGGAAGTAAAAAAAGAGCACAGTTCGATGATATCTTTGCTTGTTTTAACAATTGCACTTGGAAATTCAAAGTAGAGAAAATAATAAGACTTTCATTTGATTTAGTGAGGTCGTTTAACATATAATTATGTTTTTGTTGAATAACCACGGTGGAATTACCTCCTGATGATGACAACTATGACCGCGGCGATGACAAGGACGACAACCACGCCTACTAAAGCTCCGACTATTGACCCTGTGTCTACCGCTCCAGGAGTATCTGACCTCTGATCTTGTCCTGGCGAAAAGGGAAAAGCATCAATGGTACATATATAACTTCTTGGCATATTTTCTCTCTATCTGATTAGCATGATGGAAGATATACCGACACGACAACACTAAACTCAACGAATCATTTTATTGCTTCAAAATACTTCAATGTTTTGAATGTTCGTTTTGTGATATTTGTTTTCCTATGCACGGAATTAAGATTTATTATCAGTATATGTTGAAACATGTAGATGATTGTTAAGACTTTATCAGCCAAAGCAGCAGACAGAAAAAGCATATATTCCGAGAAAATGAACTGCCACCTTTCTATTTTATAAAGCAAAATTGGCACGTAGATATCACGACTAAATATTGCTGGCAACTTATATTAAATATTTGGTCATGATGTCAAAGAACGCAGTTTTAAACAACAACAACCAGGAAGGTACCGACATCTCAGCTTAATCTTAAATCAAACTCAAATTTGATGGAATAAAGGCAAAATATGATAAAGGAAAGATCTACACGGAGAAAAGTACGAGAAAAATAAGACAAGGGTTAAAAAAAAGTAAGCGACCTCTGCCGCATTATGTAAGTCTTGGTGAATGCAAGCAAATACTGTTACGTTTTCGAATGAGAACAAGTTACAGAACAATGAACCACTAGGCATACTAACGAGCATCAGCACGTAAAGCTCCATATAGCACCAAGAGGTGGAATATATCTAAATGCGATCATTATGACGACCGTAAAACTTTCTCATATTCTTCATGGTACTGTATTTATTGAAACCTTGTGTCGCGAATTTGTATGTTGTTTGTCAGTTGCTTAGTTCTTTCATGAAATTCTTGACCCACTGGGTGCATGGTGTCGCTATCCCGGAGGAGAAAATTTACACCCGGAATATTAATAATATATTGCTTAAAATACAAATTTGTAGAAAGCTGTCCATGTTGATTTCATTGTAGGAAAAGATATATATTTCAATTTACATATTCAAAGTAAAAAAATTCTTAGATAAGCAATCGTAGTTAAATATTAAAACTGTGTATTATACAGATCAAACTTCTTCATTTCTACCATGTACGAAAAGTACGAAAATTACTTGTTTCACAGTAAGGTCCTTGGTATCCAGGATCACATTCATCCACACACAGACCAGTGTCTTTTTTACAACTACTACAGTGGCCACACGACGTGTTGCAACTCATTCCGTAGAGACCCGGCTTGCATTCTTTTGAGAAACGAAACAAGTAAAGGTGTATATTGCTAGAATATAGAAAGCAGATCAATAACTCTAACCAATACTAAACTTTATGCAAAGTTAATCAAATACTCAATTGCATTTCATAGAAGGTTTACTGGCAGTACTTACTTGTACATTCACCGTTTTGTTGATAACACTCGGAACAATTGCTGTTGCAGGGCATTGAACAGTTTGTCCCATAAAGTCCATCAACGCATCCTGTTATTGAAATAATTTCATTAACCTATTAACAGTGGTTCCATAACAAGTTATAAAGAAATCTGCTTTAACAGTTTGATAAACAATAACGCTTCTGTCTTACATCTGATATAAATAAAGATAAAGACACAAAAATGATTTATTTGACTTCCCGTAAATCATTCCGAGGAAAAAGTTTAGATATCAAGGCGACTTCAATTTACCTGTCAACCTTGATTTTCATGCTGTCATGATAAAATGTCAATTGTGTTCTTTTGGGGGGATTGTTTTTCTCAATATATGTTTTCACATATGCTATTCACATTCTTGGACATGCACCCATGAATGTAGTTTTACGATATAATTTAAGTAGAGGAAGAATAATAATGGATTATTTTTTAATAATAGCTCTTTACTTTTTCTTATTCATTAAATTTACTTCATGCTTCAACAAATACAGTATCAAGCTATCCAAACAAATGAAATTGTCGCTTTAAACTCAAGGGAAACATATACACATTTAAATTTTAAAATTGCATTTTTCCTTATTTATATTCCCATTAGATGATTCCGTTTTCACTTTTCATTTTATGATTTTTCACAAAATTTCCCCTAGTGTTATAACGTCCAGGCAGCAATTACGAACCTCTATACATTACAAGGCAGCCGATTTCTCCGATTGAATCACGTGGCCATATGACGTATATGAAATCATTTATGGATGCAATTGGTCACCGAAACATAATATACCATCAAAAATGAAAAAATACAAATGCCGTAAGAAAATCTACTTAAGGTAATATACGGAATTACATTATAAAATTAACTCTTATGGCGGATTCTATTTTTCTATGTACGAGGTAAAATTATTTCTACAACGAATGAAAATCTCGAAAGGTATCTGATATGTCTGTTTACATGTACACCAGTTTCTTGATGTAGTATGCCATGTTTGAAAAGTGTGCACCTTTAACTCTTAACTCGGTTATTTACCATACGAATACTTGTGTTTTGTTGTCGCAAGCCATAACTATAGATAGGTTATAAGTTCAGAGCCAGGTCTGCTAGGTTAGGGAATATTACCATATTATTTGACGTTAGATAACTAAAATGTCACGTCTGACAACAAGACTGTGACACTTTGTATCAGCCATTTTACACAAAATCCTATCTATTTGCACTGTTCTCTTGGGAATTGCCAACAAATTGTATTAAGATATCCATTTTAAAACACATGCTGTGTACATATTATATATGTCATGAAAACTATTTATTTTACACTAGCCATATTTTTCAACCACCAAGAAAACGACGTATTTTGATGCTGTGAACACAAAATATCATTCTTTTTAATTAAATGCAAACAGTTTCATTATCACCGGAAACATTATCATTGCTAGAGTTTATATGATATACTATGTCTTATATCCTCAGTGACGTTGTAGGCTTTTGTCCTAATGATATTGTCTAATATAAGTAAAATTCATTCACTCACCTAAACAAGTTCCGTTGGCCTTCTCACAAAAGCTATTCTTACAGTTTGCTGAACAGTCTTGATCACATGTATCGCCATACTTTCCAGGAACACAACCTGAGACATAAAAATTATCTCCAATCACCTAAAGAATTTGGGTTTCTTTGTATTATTTTTATTTCATTATACGTATGGCAATTACATTGTGTTTCTGATCATGAGTTATATTCATAAACCACGTCAAAAACCCGATAGAAACAATCAGATTTCCCGGATAAATGGAGACTGCACCAAATCCAACATTAATTAGAATGACCATCTACATTTCTCTTATCCGGAAGTTGATAACCACGTGACTAAAGGGAATCTATGCATTGCAGTTAAATAATATCATTTTATTAAACTATTGCAACTTCTTTTTGATAATTCATTTTTAGTCATTAATCACCAAACGAACATCTGTGTAAGTCGATTTCAATGTCAAAATTAGACCACATAATACATTACTCACCAATACAGTATCCGTTGGATTTCATGCACAAGTTATTATTACAGTCTGCAGAACAGTCTTGATCACATGTATCGCCATACTTTCCAGGAATACATTCTGATAACACAGAAACATCTTTCATACTTCTATATCTAATTAGTTACAGCGGCACTTGGTTTCTTCACATGATTTATGTCAACAAGAAGTAGTTGCTGCTAAAGGAAAACTTTCTTATTCATTTTGAATTGATGTTGTAGGTGTTTGGGAGTGACGTAGGAGAGATAACAGTGGTTCCCAATAAATGGTCGTTATTGTTCCTCGCATGGTCGTCACAAATATCATAAAAACAATAACAGAATGCACATTTATTATTTCTTCCTAGAAAATGGTTATACGTTTGATTGATTTAAAAACCTGAGAAGGCATGATAATGTTTACAATAAATATAAATGAGATAGAAACGTATTCTGGAAACTGAGCAGTGGAAAATACACGTAACAATTCTGGACATGTGATATAGTTTGCGGGCATAATCTACCGAAGCTGAAAAAACACAGTGAAAACATAATCTGACGAAAATTCAGACATGAGACATATTTGTCGACAACACCGTAAGCATTACCTAAGGCTGATAAGATCAAAAGTTCTGCTATATAGGAATTGGCAGTTCTGCAGTACCACATCCCTCATTTAGGTTTGCATAGATCTGCCTTAAGCTTGTGGTACCATAACTATATTGATGAGGTTGTGGATTACCTTAGGTATTTAAAAGTGTTTTTTGGTATGATACATAAATAATATCTAACGGTTTCCCACTTAACTATCTAATATTTGTGTATAATTTCGTAATATATTTGTACGATGAAAATCAGTCTATTTTCTTTGATAACCTTTTTACTGAGAAATCATACCAAAACGTCGACCCTAATAAAGCCAATCGTGGTCTGAAGAAAGGCCAAAGAAAATATTACCATATTATTTGACGTCAGATAACTAAAACGTCACGGCTGACAGCAAGAATGTGATATATTGTATCAGCCATTTTACACATAATCCTATTGAATAACACTGATTTTGTAGGAATTGCCAACAAATTGTATGAAGGTATTAAAAAAACAAGCTGTGAACACATTAAATATGTCATGAAAACTACATTTAGTCATCACATGCCATAAGTTCCTGCTAACAAAAAAAAAGTTCGTTTTGATAATGTAAATACAAAGACCTCATTCTATCTAACCAAATGAAAACAGTTTCATTCTCACTGGAAACATTGTAATTGCTAGTGTTTATATGATATACGATGTCTTATATCCTCATTGCAGTGATGCTTTAGGCTTTGATCCGAATGATAATCTCTAATGTAAGAAACATTTATCCACTCACCAATACAATTTCCATTGGCCATGACAGAAACAATCAGATTTCTGTAATAAATTGAGACTTCTTCAAATTCCCATTAATCAGAATGACCATCTACATTCTCTCATCCGGAAGTTGATAATCACGTGACTAATAGGAATCTATGCATTGCGGTCTAATGTTATTGTTTTATTAAACTATTTCAACTTCTTTTTGATAATTCATTTTTAGTCATTAATCACCAAACGAACATCTGTGTAAGTCGATTTCAATGTCAAAATTAGACCACATAATACATTACTCACCAATACAGTATCCGTTGGACTTCATGCACAAGTTATTATTACAGTACGCAGAACAGTCTTGGTCACATGTATCGCCATACTTTCCAGGAATACATTCTGAAAACACAGAAATATACTCCATATTTCAATATCTAAAACGTTACAAACATTCTTGATTTCTTGACATGAATATTGTCAATAGAAATGTTGTTATTTCATTGTAATTGTTAACAGAAAACTTTCGTATTCGTTTTGAATTGATTTTGACTAATTACTGTCATTCCGTGATAAATCGTTGTTATTGTTCCTCGCATGGTCGTAGCAAATATTGAAACAATATTTATAAAATGTATTTTCATTGAACATATTTATTTACAATGAGATGAAAACGTGTGCCTTTTTATATCAGTTATATTGATGAGGTTGTGAATTACCTTTGGTACTTAAAAGCGTTTTTGTGGTATGATATATAGATAATATTTAATGATTTCCCACTTAAATATATAATATTTGTGTATACTTCCGTACTTTATTTGTACGATGAAACTAATATATTTCCTTGATAACCTTTTTGAAGAGAAATCATACCAAAACGTCGACCCTAATAAAGCCAATCGTGGTCTGAAGAAAGGCCAAAGGGAATATTACCATATTATTTGACGTCAGATAACTAAAATGTCACGTCTGACAACAAGACTGTGACATATTGTATCAGTCATCTTAACCAAAATCCTTTTGATTTACACTAATCTTATAGGAATTGCCGACAAATTGTATTAAGATATTCATTTTAAAAAGCATGCTACGTACACATTAAACATGTCATGAAAACTACATTTATTTTACGCTAGCCATATTTTCCAGCCAACAAGAAAAAACGTATTTTGGTGTTGTGAATACAAAAATGTCATTCTATTTAACCAAATGAAAGCGGTTTCATTTTCACTGGAAACATTGCTAGTGCTTATGTGATATACGATGTCTTATATCCTCATTGTAGTGATGCTTTAGGCTTTTATCCGAATGATGTTTTCTAATGTAAGCAACATTTATCCACTCACCAAAACAATTTCCGTTGGCCCTCTCACACAAGCTATCATTACACTTATCTGAACAGTCTTGATCACATAAATCGCCATACTTTCCATGAACACAACCTGAGAACATAGAAAATATCCCTTATTACCTAAGGATTTTGTATCTTTTATCATTATTTCAACATAAGTAAAGACATAATATTGTGTTTCTGGCCATGAATTATATTCATAAATCACATCAAAAACCTGACAGAAACAGTAAGATATCTCTGATTTGGAGACTTCGCCAAATTCCCATTAATCAGAATGACCATCTACATTCTCTCATCCAGAAGTTGATAACCACGTGACTAAAGGGAATCTATGCATTGCGGTCTAATGTTATTTTTTTATTATACTAATGCAACTTCTTTTTGATAATTCATTTTTAGTCATTAATCACCAAACGAACATCTGTGTAAGTCGATTTCAATGTCAAAATTAGACCACATAATACATTACTCACCAATACAGTATCCGTTGGACTTCATGCACAAGTTATTATTACAGTGCGCAGAACAGTCTTGGTCACATGTATCGCCATACTTTCCAGGAATACATTCTGATAACACAGAAATATACTCCATATTTCAATATCTAAAAAGTTACAAACATTCTTAATTTCTTGACATGAATTATGTCAATAGAAATGTTGTTATTTCCTTGTAATTGTTAACAGAAAACTTTCGTATTCATTTTGAATTGATTTTGAATGATAACTGTCATTCCGTGATAAATCGTTGTTATTGTTCCTCGCATGGACGTAGCAAATATTGTAACAAGATTAATAAAATATATTTTCATGGAACATATTTATTTACAATGAGATGAAAACGTATGCCTTTTTATATCAGTTTTATTGATGAGGTTGTGAATTACCTTTGGTACTTAATAGCGTTTTGTGGTATGATATATAGATAAGGTTTAATGGTTTCCCACTTAAATATATTATATTTGTGTATACTTCCGTACTATATATGTACGATGAAATTTAATCTATTTTCTTTGATAACCTTTTTGAAGAGAAATCATACCAAAACGTCGACCCTAATAAAGCCGATCGTGGTCTGAAGAAAGTCCAGAGGAAATATCACTATATTTTCTGACGTCAGATAACAAGACATTTTGTATCGGCTATTTTACACAAAAATATCCATTAAAAAATAAAAACATTCTTCGTACACATTGAATATGTCATGAAAACTACACTTATTTAACATTTGCCATATTTACAAGCCAACAAGAAAAAGGCGTGTTTTGATGTTGTGAATACAAAAATGTCATTCTATTTAACCTGGAACGCGACAGTTTCATTATCACTGGAAATATTGCTAGTGCTTATGTGATATACGATGCCTTGTATCCTCATTGTAGTGATGCTTTAGGCTTTTATCCGAATTATATTTTCTAATGTAAGCAACATTTATCCACTCACCATAACAATTTCCGTTGGCCTTCTCACACAAGCTATTCTTACAGTTAGCAGAACAGTCTTGATCACATATATTGCCATACTTTCCGGTAACGCATTCTGATAACATAGAAACATCTTTCATATTCTATATCTAATTAATTACAAAAACAATTATATCAATAGGGACACTATTATTTTGTTGTTGCTGCTAAATGAAAATTTTCTCATTCATTTCGAATTGATATTGTAGGTGTGTGGGGGTGATGTAGGAGAGATAACAGTGGTTCCTAATACATCGCCGTTATTGTTGCTCGCATAGTCGTCACAAATATCATAAAAACAGTAACAGAATGCACATTTATTATTTCTTTCTTGGGTAAACGTTTGTTTGATTTAAACACCGAAGAGACATGGAAATATTTACAATAAATATAAATGAGATAAAAACATATTCTTGAAACTGAGCAGTGAAAAATACCCGTAACAATTCTGGACATGTGATATAATTTGCAGGCATAGTACTGAGTCTTCATGGCTCAACTTGCTAAAGGGATAGGAATCTCCAAATGCATATCTAAGCAGCTTTCAGATTTCAAACAGAACTATTATTGATATGCCCTATAACGTCAGATTGTGAAGTGAAATATATTATTTCTGTTTACTGATAGGATTAGAGAAATGATTAATAAGATTTTGTAACATCCAAAGTAATGGGAATTAACACATAATTGCTAGTTTCGGATTTTTCCTGTTTGTTCTTAAATGAGAATTAACATTGTATGATTGAAATCAACCTAGCTGCTCTCGCACCATTGACTCTGAGTTGGAACCAAAATTATGTTGAGGGTCTAAAAACAAAGTATGCTAATCCAGACGGAATAACACCATGCAGTGATGTGATATTTCGCCTGGAGATATTGTGTTCTGTTCATGTCTATGTAAACAAAAATACAAAAATTGTTTCATACAATAAGGGCATAAAAATAATCATATGTCACTAAAATCTTGATCGTTTAAATGTAAAATGCATGTTACATGTTTTGTTATATGTTAATGCTTTGACGAGTGTTTTGTGATTAACTTAACTTTCTGTTTATTAATCAATATTAAGCAAATAGAGGCGGAAGGTCTTTTACAACATTTAATTTTGATACTATCGTACTGAAGAAAATTAAAGGAAGTCATGATAGTAATGAATAAAGCTTACAACACTATTATACGTTTTGAATATATATGATATTAAACGATTCCTTTTCGTTTTATTTTGGCCAGTGAAATATTGAAATGTATCAATTTGGGAAAAGATTATATCATCACCGCAATGATAACATAATATTTATTATGTCAATATTAGTGATAATATTACATTTCCAGTGATGATATTACTTTTTATTGATGATAAAATTTTCGTACTTTTGACCAACGAAAGCGGTGTTCTCAAGTCACTTCATTAAGAAATCACCGACTTTCATGTTTGGATGCAAATGAAGCGAAGGTTGAATGAACCACATATCTAAGGCCGATCCAAACATAAAAGAAGCCAGTGTGTTCAAATAGGAAAGTCTGCGTAATTCAATGACTCTGATTGGTCAAAACTGTTTAAGTTATATCTTTACTGTTAAAGTTATATATTACTGCAGTGATGATATACGTCTTTCATAAACTGATATAAAGTCCTACATTTCACGGTAAAAGAGTAAAACAATTATGCATTACTGTTTCTTTATCAATAACGAGAAATCATACCAATTTTTATGGCCGCCTGTTTTCATATAAACTTACATAATAACAACTGCAATATATAATGACCTTTTATGGGAATTCAGTTGGCACTTTTTCTAAACATAATGTGATACTTAGATTATCTTCAAAAACGAAATTTCAGACAGAAGTTTGTCACAAAAGTACCTGGTAATAATAATTTACAGGAGTGGAATAGTATATATATATTGCACTGCAGAGAACACATACAGCATTTGTTATCTAAAATCTCGAATTAGTCACTATCAAACAAAATATCACGAATCGTTTAAAAGTCATGTCAGTTTTCAAATGCATTATAATCTATCTGACCAAAACATAATTAGATGTTCACAATTTCTTTTGTAATCACTCATTTTTATTCGTCAACAGTTAGACAATCACAAAGAGACAGAAACATAAAAAGAATTTTTTTTCTGGGTAAATGTCAAGTTGTCATCTTGGTTTTCATTTGCCATGTGTTCCTGTACAACATTTGTAAAGGTGCCCTGGGACCAACAAATTCACATAACATTATTGAAATTGTTGACATTGCACTTCTTCAAATCGATTGTTGACAAAAAGACAGTTAAAACTTCAACTATGATGATAAATCCTTGAACTATGTAATAATTTATCATTAGGAAAAACTTATTGCATGTTACAAATAATTAATTCTTTGTTAAATCACATGCTTTGATAAAATATACAGATATCATATGACCAGTCTTATACAGAACTCTGGGTTGATAATGTCAATATAATAAATAATACAACCATAAGAGGTTTTGAGCGTGACGTTTCGATAACAGCACTGTCACCTTGATCGGTCAAACTACCTTTCTAAAGCGTACCAGAAATGGCGTATGTAGAGTACGAGATGGTTCGGAATTAGCTGTGTTAAACACATTTTTCGCTACAACTACATTACATCTTGTGTACGTGTATCTATAATCCCTTTACCATTTTGTCACACTAATTAAGCTTATATAACATTAGGAAAGTCGATCTATTCACTACTATTTCATACACTGCACCAGGCATGGACGCTTTTCATCGCCCATTGGTGATGACAATGTGACCATCGAAACTTCAAACTTAATTTCTACTGGTTGTGTTATATCGACTGCTATTTTGTTTACAATAAGGCATAGTTTTCAATTGCAGTGAGAAATAAACAAAGGTAGTTTATATCAAGACACAATATTAGATATAGTTGAGGCAAAGGATTAGACAAACTATATCATGTAGGTATTTCGTCTTTTCGGGACTCGTCTGTGATGCGAGTTTTGATACCTAGAAGGAAACTAAGGACCATCATAATTGGTCGCAAATCTAGATGTAGGGAAACATCAAATTAATCTATTACAGATTTTTAAAGTTTTTAATTATTTTTCAAAAGAGCGTCAAGTACACGTATATATTCTGTACTAAGTAACTACGGGAATGATATAAAGACTGGCATGCAAGGTATCTGCATTGGAGGCTGGCACATTCCTGTATGGAACATATACATTTTGTATGAATTTATGTGTTCACAATAAAATTGGAACTACATTTGGTGCAATAAGTTAACAATGACTTGTAAAGGCACAATGGTTGACAATATTGAGTGTAGTAATATTTAATACCAATCACAGTTGTACAGGGTACTGAAAAACACATTATATTTATATAGTACATACCAATATTCGGTCTGTGTATAAAATAATACACGATAATCCGATAGTTACTCATTTCACATACCTAAACAATGTCCAGAGTCTTTATTACAGAGGCTGCCTTTACAGTTCGTAGAACAATCCATGTCACAAGCACTGCCATACTTTCTCGGGAAACAGTCTTAAATGTAAAAGATATATATTATCGATAAAGTAATAACGACAACACGGATCAATTAATTGTCATTTTTTGAGGCAGTACACACCCTTTATTAAGTTTGGATTATTTTTTAATTACGCCCTACATGTATCAACAGTAAGAACCGCCCGCTGTAGGACGTGTCAGGTTTAAGTGGAATCTGCAACCCAGAGGGGATAATATTAAAGACGGTCAGACACCTTAACCACTCGCCACCTCGGCCCCCTTTATAAAATACAAACTATTACCAAAGTTTAACAAATACAGAGAACATAAAACAGGAACAAAATCACATTGTCTAGATAGTATATAATACTAAGAATCAAAGAAAGAAAGGATCAAACGTGCTGCTATTGGGGCAACATATCAATTCTGGTTTCAATGTTTTGTAAAAGAAAATAAAGATGAAACCCCTTGATTGTGCAGGGGGCCTCATAATTCGTTTCCTCTTACGACATTCAGTCGGATACATCAATCATTTAAGTCATCCGCATTCGCACATTTATCAGCAGTATGTGATACATAAAACTGTCTGTAACAGAATGACCTATAGAACTTTCAGAAGGAATCGCAAAATGAGATCAGCATATCTTTGAGAATTCATTACTGTACTGGTATGTTATTTTATAAACTTACAAAAGCAGGAGCCAGATTTCGGGTTACAGTTGCCTCCGTAACAAGTTTCTGGGCAATCCTTTTCACAGTTGCCATCACCGTAATGGCCTGCTGCACATCCTAAGGGTGAACATAATAAAACGTTTCGAATACAGGTTTGATTTTCAAACATATTTTTACACCATATGCCTAGAAAAGATTAGTAAATATTATTGTTTCCCTCCTATCTTTCTTTCTCTATTGCTTTCTTTCTTTCCTGCTTTCAAGCACTCAGAAGCTAAGATTCTTTGATGCTTTGGAATCTATTAATATCTCACATCATAAAAGAGTGTAAAATAAAAAGTAATTGGTGTTAACAGCAAAAAAGCCTGGCAAAAATAATTTTAAAAAAGTCACGCAATAGAATGGTAGAGAGTCAGACAATAATATGGACTTGTGTTGACTACCTCCAACCTCGAAGGGCACATCTAGAGTGTGACTTTGGTTAAGTACCAGTAAATAGCAAGAAATTAATGTCCAAGGGACATATATGGGAGTAGAAGAAACAGATAAGGAAGAGAGGTAAGATACATACAGAAAGGTAGAAACAGGATTTTAGCTATAGAGACGCCTAAAGAAAAACACAGATCGACACAGTCAGAGGAGTAAGAGAGAAATAGGTAATTTGCAAGACAAAGGTGGACAGATAAACATACACACAAAACACGCTACACAGAGAACAGAGAGAACTGCACAAAAAGACACATATAAACAAAGACAGACAGTGAGGGAGAAAACGAAATAGTGGTAATGACAAAGCAGAAATTTTTTGCTAGAAAATGCATTATAAAACGCTATTTAATTTTAGTTCTCATAGGACAAAGGAAAACGTCCTGGCATGGCATTTGTATATAATGAATTTTCTTCAGTATATCTAATGTAGATTTTTTTGTATTATTTTAATAATCTTTACTAAAAATAAAGATAATTTCGAAGGATTAACAGATGTACTTACCAAGAACTATAACCTCACATAACTCCAGCACAGCTACAGCATCATACCAGGTGTATCGTGGTGGAACGTTTCTGTAGTTGTATACAGTAACATACCGGCCAACATACGGGCACTGATGTATTATATTCAGTTGTACCGTTGTTTCAGTAGTACTCGTATCCTCATAACAGCGGACACCGTTTGTTGGGGAATCCGTGTTATTAGATATATAAAGGTGGTAACCTCCTAATCTTTCCCCAAATCCAGCTGAAAATATGTCAAATGTAAAATAGTAATTATTCAGTCTATACAACTGCGTTATTATGTTTTTGCCGCAGGTTGTTTTCTCGGAAGAAAATACTGCAATCTTTAGTTGACAGCAGTATCATCACTAACATCAGTATTATTTTCTTTGATGCCGACTCCAACATGAACAGGTTTGGAATAAGGGCACGGATAGGCTTTTCTACATCAACCTATCCCGCAACCCCCACCCCCGCGTATTTTAAAAATGTTTTCCTGCTTTACAATTTTCAAGTTTTCCAGTTTTCCAATGTATCTTCAAAACGACCTTCTATAATATCATGCTGTACAGTAAATATAATATTTAAAGGCAATAAGGCAGGGAAGTCAACTCGAGATCAATTTTCAATCATATTATATTATTTAAGGATTTCTTGGAATTTAAGTGAATTGAAGTTTATTGTGTGATTTTTATCTAGTGACATGAGATGCGATTCGACGAAAGCCGTACGTTTAGCTAACAACTTTAAAATTAGGCTAGGAACTTAAGCCAATAATATTTCGCAAATAACTGTAGTAGAACTGTCACATGAAAACGAGCGTACCTTCTGCAACTCATAGACATTATTTAATATATAACATTTAATTACAATCTCCAAAAATTCGACCTCCAAGCATATCTCATCTCCATTAGAAAATGATTTTTGACTTTTAGCTACAATGTTATCATGGTGCGGTCAGATCAAGTGTTTTTTAAACTGTCTGCAATGGCATGTTAAACAGCCTTTCCATGTTCTGCAATTGAAAAATATTTGTGACCTTTCGAAAAAACAAGAATTTGAATGACTGAAATGTTCGGAATTTCGTCAAAAAGTGTAACGTCAAATATAGAACTACCATAACGTATTTTCGTCACAAGATTACTCTTACAGCATTCAGTGTGGGAGACGTGAGATGTTTTATCCGTTCTGAGCCTAATTGCGTGTTAAAATGAGGTCTTATCATATTATTCAGCTTGTAAAAACAGTTGATAGTGTTAAAACTGCCAACAGCAAGAACCAATGACATTAATGGTCTGGTCATTGACAAAAAGATATATCGATATACCGAATGAAGATTCACACCAAAACATAAGTGGCAATCGATCAATATACCCTCGGCTATGAACAACATAAACAGGCAACTTGTACACCAAAAGACAAAACATCCCTTCCCTCCCATAAGCCAGACTAGCCACTCCTACAAATGGGCACCGTAACGAGTGGCAGTCATCACTGGGCCACTTGTGGAAAATAGAAAAAATTCAAATTACTTGTTTTCAGATTTGACTGACATCACTAGAAAGAATTCCTGTGAAATTATAGTCCTTTTAACAATCACGCCGGTTCATAAGACGATAAAGATCATACATGAGCGATTTCAACAAGACAAAACAAGGAAACAACAGCGAGCCTACTTTGGATGTAGTCAGCAAAGAAAAGGAGAACAACCTTACATCTCACCAAAACCAGGTTAATACACCATAAATTTTACAATTGAAGAGGGGACAGAAAGAAAATTCCTTTCTTCGATTCATTGATCTTAAGAAGGTCGGCTACTGGTAAACAAGAAAATATAAACATATGAACATAAGTCTAATCCAAAATCAAATTCAATAAAACTAGGGCATAATGTTAATTCATAGAAGATTTAGAGAGACTCCTGAAAAAAGCACGTGGAGAATGATACCGTGTGTTCAGAAAGAGTAAGCGTCTTCTGCTTAATCGATGACTCCTCTCGTATCAAGCACTCAAATGGGAACTAAACGTTCAACAACAGAACCAACTGGAAAGCTACGAACTGTCAAACATGTCCAGCTTGGTATCGAAGAGAGATCAATGGTGACCGTAAGACTTTCCCCTATTTTCCATCAACCTGCATCTTTTAAAAACCTTTATTATAAGTTTGTCATTTATCGTTCTGCACAAACACCGTGAAACTGAGAAAAGTGCTTTGAGTATCGAGTAAACTACCATGTACATCCCATAGGTTGGGGATATATGAATCTTGCTATCTAGATATAGAGAAATCACAATGGCAAAATTGAAATCATTACTATTATCTTACAGGATACTCGATAAGCGGTTAATGTAAGAGAGCCTGTCGGTTCTTCATTTTCAATTGTGTTGGGTATACCAGATAGAAGTTGTTAATAAATATCTTGTTATTTAAAGACAAGACCTCATCAATATGTCTGAACGTAAATCCTAAAGACCTTGCAATGCCTTATTTTGCCTGTTTTAATTAGCCTTTCGATAAATTTAGCCTCATATGAAAACCAAATCAAGTCAGGCAACAGAGAGTCACAGTTATTCCTCAACATAGGTATGGTAATACTCTGTTTAAAGATCATAACTCTAAACTTCCCGAAGATTGTTTCTCCCGGAAACTCGATCATTTCTGTTTTTTTTTTTTTTTTTTTTTCATTTATTTTTATTTAGGGGTATTGTTCATGAAATACATTTAAATACAGCGATACACGTATACCGCCCCTCGCCCATTTTGGAAAAGAAAGCCCTCATAACAAGAGAACGAAGGAATTGTTTTACTACAGAATGGACCATGGTGGTGTACAGTGTAACAGCATCAAATTTAAATGTTCTCTTTGATTTTTTTGGAGAAGTATGTTGATGATTGAGTTTATTGGTCGGCATATTGATACCATTGAACAATATTCTATTTTTTTATATTACATTGGAGTTTTTGATTCTCGTTCGTATGTCTCTTGAGTTTTCGTTGTTGATTACAGAGTTCTGTTAAATGACTCGAATTGTCCAAGATAAACATGTTAGATGTCGACGGCGAAACAGAAGTAGCTTATCATCACGGAACAGCTGGACGTATTCTCTTTGTATTTTTGCGAGGGTCTCCGTGTTAGCCTCTCATGTATTCGTATTTGCCTCCGTTATATCGAGTTTCATTTTAGATTAAGTCTGTTGGCAAGACATTATTTTCTTTGTTGTCTTGACAATCCTTTACATAGAAAGTATAAATGAAATATTTGTAGCATATTTCAATAATCAGGTGTATTGATATTAAACATTTAACAGTGATACTGTACTTCTTACATTCTAGTTTCATCGGTAGGGGTTTTATAATTTGTCATAACAACATAACTATAGTTTTTAATCCAAAAAGTCAAGCTGATAACGTGTGCAAAATATTCATTCTGAACAGCAGACAGGAAAAAATAACAATTCGAAAGAATATATTTTTGCAGACCACATGTAGATGTACATTGTTAAAAAAACTTAACATAATCCCAAGCCTAAATGGAGGTCAAAGTATTTAAAGTAATTACAGCGAATTTCCTCATCGACAACTCAATCAATTGGCTCATTCACCTGAGAAATGGAAAAGCTGTCAATGTGGAGAGCATTCCTCACCTTTCAGAAAGAAAATAAACCATTTTTTTTTTAATTTGCTTTGCAGCTTGGTACAGAGACAATTTTTAAAGAGTCTTATATCTCGAAATTCCGAATGCGATTTTTAATAGCAAATTTTGTCGACTGGTTTGTTGAAGCAATGACATCGTGATGTCCTTATTATGTGATGCATTTCTATTTCCAAATCAGAACATAGATAAATACCTATCTGATCAGGGAACCATTCCATCCCAACCCTTTTCCGAACATCGTTGATGTCACATTTTATCAATATTATATGTAATGTTACGTAAACTTACCTCTGTAAATTATTTGTATTGTGTCAATGGTGCCCATCTGTCCTATATCTACACGCCACCAAACGGTCTCAGGATTCCCCTTTGTAGACGTGTGTGTACAACAATTAGATAGTATATTTGTTCTTGCGCAATTATCCACTGCCGCTCCTGCTAGCCATTTAGTCGAAAAGTTGCTACTTTGCGCAGCAGGCTTAAAAGCAGCTATATTACCTGTAATTTAACACGATGAATATAGGTGCTCAAGTAAGGCTTGTAATTCATTATGACAATACTGCACTTTAAGGAGCGATTTTATCAGACTTAGAACACAACAGTTAAAACTGTATATGTGCTTAAATGAACAGATTTCAATTAATATCACATGAAAACGCATGGTTTATCGGGGTGCATATCCTGAATGTATTCCTTCTTTAATTTGTCACATAACAAATATATGCCTGGTGTAGTCTAGATAAGCATTAAGTCACCTGAAGAACAATTTTCAATCCTACTAATTCAATAAGATTTAAAATACTTGCACTACAGAAAAATGAATGCCGTGTACAAATGCTCACAGAGTGTATCATTTAGCTTGAACAAATATACAAGTATCCACGTGTACACTTTCTGGAGAACGCATGGAAATAAATCACGCGACACTTGTCTATAAATGATGACTTGATATGCTCGTAAAGGAAACATTTTAAAAATCCCCGTGATGAATACGGCCATATTACATTCCATATCAACAGAATAAACAACTTTAAGAGGTTCAATCGCTGATTTGATTAGATGCTGAACCTCTCAAAATTTGGTTGTCCACGATATACACGAGCTGCTGTGTTATATCGTACTGTGAAAACATAAAGTCATGTATATATTGACCAATTGAAAACATTATCACAATGTAAACCAAGACAGCTAACATTAAAATGATATACAATGATATCATGGTTCACGTTTTTAACATTAATGCATTTTTCGGTTTAGTTAAGTTTTTAAAACCGACCCCTGGTAAATTCAAGGAAAAAACATATGCCTCTATGCCAGGAAATGCTTCTATACAATAACATCCTCAAGACTATAGACCAAAAACCCAAATTGATATTTTGTAATCAGGAAGTACGTTGTATACGGTGAGATATTTATTCTGTCTATGTGTTTATGTTTAATGTTTTTGTTTCCTTACTTATAGTACATACGTTAATTACTTACCTTCTGGTCTGCAGGTGTTGAACATCAGGAACAAGACCAGATATACGCCTCTGTTTGGTACTTCTCTTGTCGCCATTTCTGTGCCTAATGGCGAATGTTCAGCAACAAGGAAGTAGAATGGACAGTGTCGTGGATTATTTATATATATATGTGAAGTGTGTTTAAAGTCTGGTACATGACCTGTTCTGGTAGACTGAGATTCAATAAATGGCTATAATACCTATAAATACCTGTGTTCACCTTTAAACAGTCGGTGTGCGTTACAAACTGTGCACGGGTATCAACATCAACAAATACATATACACACATCAGTTTACGTCGTTGTATGCTATGTTACAGTATAATTTATGACTACATTATTTTTATGGACCATTTTTTTTTTTTTTTTTAATCCGTGGAAAATATAAGACTTACATAGAAATGATGAAAGTAAAAATGTAAACATTTGGGATATTGGTAATATCACGTAAGTACTTACAGGCATCGTTATAGCGTTGATGTAATTTGTCCTACCATTTGTATATCGACAGAAGTAAACAATTATGAAATTAAATCTTTCATAAAATGTACAACATTATTTCAAACAGCTTGTGGTTTCATTCACGGAAAGATTTAAAGCTGAGCTTGAAAAAGTTGACGGCGACATGATTGAATTGAACAAGTAAAATATATAGATAATCTGAAAGAATGGATCTAGAGAAAAGAAGTGAGTTTTCAGAGTTTCGACTTGGATAATACAACGTCCTCATATACGAAATAGAAGTCACACATAAGGAAAACATGAACGTTGTGCGTCATTATTTTCGTACAGTCGTTTATGATTATCTATAATATCCATCGTCACTCTCAGAGAAACACTAATTTAAACACTACAAATTATCATCCACCGTCGATAAATGTGACATTCGATACTATGGATGTTATGCACCTTCCGAGGGGTGACCAGATTACGATCGTGACCGATATACGAGACTTAAACAAAAATGCTTAACAAGCAAGGATCGGATACATCATGAGACAAAGAGTCAAAATTATAAAGACTAAGATTCAAGGGTCTCTTGCGGTGATAGATGTGTGATTAGAAATGAGACCAAAATATCTTAGTAAAGGTCCATGGAATATAGTTTAAACTGAATTGAAGTATGTGACCTAATTACAAGGGAAAGTGCCAGAGAGAATGATCGAATGAACTGTATTGCTGTAGTTATTTTGATAATCTAAAGACCATAATTGTTCGGAAAATACGATAATAAATGAATTGTTGTTAAGTTGTTGAGTTCTTCAGTTGATGTTTGTTGAAATGATCTAAGCTAAAAAGAAGGAATTTGAATGTAAAATCACACTGAAAGACGTTCAGTTTTAAAATGTCAAAATAACAAGAAAAAAGCCCAGGCTTTAATGGATTTAGAGCATTTTGTTCTGTTAAATGTTTCTGCGCGTGCAATTTTTTGTCAATTACACAAAAACAATGTAACATCACAATGATTACAAAATACAATAAGCCAAGAGACCTTTTGAAGAATTGGAGATCAATTTCTCTCTTTAATGCGACCTACAAATGGTTTTTGTATGCTTAACTAACATATGATTGAATGATATTATGAGGACCAGACAAATGAAAAAAATGGTCAAAGAGGCATTTGACGACATGGAGCTACATTCCAATAATAAACTCTTTATCTATATTTAAACTCGTCAACTTGATTATACGTCTCCTACATCCTACAAATAAACATCTAGTTAAACTGAACACAATTATTTTCTCAAACGTTTGGCGTGGCACTACCGAAAGCAAAAAAGCAAATAAAATCCAAGGCAAAGAAGAATGGGTTAAATATTATACACTTGGAATCATTCCAATAAAATTACCTCAAGATAAGCTGGATAAGTATAATAGTCAATAACACATTTTCCTGTCGGGTTCATATTTTACTAGTTGTATCCAAAACAATCTTTGAGGAAGGCTTACAAATTTATATTTTCGGTGATGCGTTTTATAGGCAAATTCTAGATTTATTGGGAATAGATCAAGGAAGGAGGTGTTTTTGGATGTTGTATGAAGTAAAAGTATTTGCTCCAACTAAATATATGTATGTGTTGTCAGGACCATAGTGGTAGAACTCAAGTTTTTAAAATTAAAAAACGGTAATTATTTTACAAAGAATGCTATGAGCAAAGTGTATATAATGTACGATTTTTTATGCTGATGGCAAATAATATTTTTACAACAATATCTGGATTTTCTTCGGCGTTTATCCATCATTTACTATATATAATGTTCTGAAAAAGACGATTACCAAGGATCTTTCTATTTTAAGAGGAGTCCAGTTATCGGAGGATTTACTCATGTACCTTAAATTTATTAAAACGGTTGTAAGATATGGACTTGTACAGTCAATTGGATCATCATTGATTAAAAGTAATGTTTCAAAGTGGAAGAGGGATCTCTTATCTTGAGAAAGATGATAAATGGTGGAGAAAAATGAATAAATCTAATTTCATGGTAGCTAAAGACAAAACAACTACAGTGGTTAGAGTCTACGCTGGTACATCGTGTATTGCCAACATTTTTGTTCTTTGGCGAGTTTAAAGTGTTGGGCTATCTCATATGTACTTTTTGTAGAGAGGAACAAGAAACTTTTTGCATTATGTTTACGACTACACACAGGTAAATACAGTTCTTAGAGAACTGAAACAGTGGTTACAGGAGAATACCTTCTTATTATTTGGCCAGAACACTATTTATATGCTATTTAAGCAATATGTCTATCAAAATATACTTCGTAAGATGTATGTTTGCTTTGAAGTTTTGAAAACTCATATTTGCTATTACTACAACGGGGAAAATGTATGCACGATCAAATGAATTTCTCTTCACTCTTCAATGGATGGAGAGGATGGCATGATTTACTAGATAAATCAATGTTAAGTATTATACCTAAATGGATATATCTACAGTGGCAAGGAAAGTTTCTGAAGAAACTGTACGATAAAGACAGTGTTATAATCGTATCGTTTGAATTTGATAGAACATTATTCTCTGTAGTCACCAAATGTCAAAATGACATACAATAAACTTATCATATGGTGATTGTACTTACGATTTTCTATAATATAATACGTTATGTTCAATTCTACACAGTATCCCCCAAATATCAATTCAAACAAGGGTATTTTCCATACAGCAGTAATACAGCTAAAGCATTGAATCTATCACCGAAGTAAATCAGTCAAATTGCTATAATCAGTCTGTAAACAACTTTAAATCACCTACTTTCAGATCTGCTGGTTTGGAGGAAGATGAACAGGATCAGAAACACATCCCTGGTAAACACAGCTCTTGTAACAGTCATATTACAGACGTATTTCCCAACGTCAATGTACCGTTCAAATGATGTTTGTCTTTTAAATATGTAATCACGCACATACGTTCATTAACAGAGAATTAAACCATTTAGCTCTCAGAGACAGCGTAAACCGTATACTACTTGAATTGAATACCACGCTTTGGTGCACACATTTCTTTTATTTACTTATTTACCTGTACTTTTTAACATCAAATTTCCACTAGAAATCAATGATACACACGCTAGAAAATAAAACCGTAAGTTTCCATTGGATATATTGTTTCCAGCGTCATATGCTGGTACAAAATAAATAAACAAAATATACTCGCAAGTTTCTTTTCGATTTCCTAAATTACGATAGCCATACAAATCGTATTTTAATGAAAAGTCTATTCTTTTCTGCTTCATGTTGAATATCCAATAAGTTAGAAACAAGGACTAAATGAAAATTAATATGGCGGACTGATGTGTCAGCCTGCCGTTACCGTGATTAGCGTATGTTATATCATTGTGCTGCCTCAGCAGCTGGTAAGAGTAGCCCTATCAGTTGTGTAATTTTTCCCCACTGTATTGTATTTCCCTGTGCTTTTAACTTCTTTATGCACCCTGTCGCATACATGTTTGTCCATTACATGTGCAGTGTATGTTATATATTTGTTTGTTTGTGTGTATTCTAACACAACCATCCCTTCGTTCTTTTTGTTTAATTTTAGCATTTAAAATGGAAAAAAGACCGACCGACTGTAACTATAGGAATTACTCGGCAAGCGTCTTCAACTATGTATCGCACTGTCTTCTTTCAAATCCAAGATAGCCTCCCTTTATCAAGTACAAACCTAGGTTCTGATTGATATGAATACACAACCTTGGTACATGTACCATGACTCCTTTTGAAGTAACATCTGTTATTGTTTCCAATAATGTAATATTTCCGTTCGAAACCATTCGATGATTTTTCATCACAGTTGATATTCAATATAATGTTAACTGATAAAATTGAATATTGTATAACAATCAATTATATGGGATGATCTTTGAAGGGAGAGGGATAGATAGAATGATTAATGATGAATTTTTCGAGTTTTTCTTAAGAATTATAATGTCATGACCGAGATGGAATTTGGAAGCATGAAAGATGTTTTTATGCTTTATTTTGATGAACTTCTAATCCTGTTCGGTATTAATAAAGAGTAGACAAAAAGATGTTACAATTGAAGTAGTCATTTACAATCAACTGTCAGCTGATGCCAGAATGTTAAATCATCAAATTATTTCAACATTTTTTATCCTGATTCTTCAATATACATATTGAAAATTGCAAAATTGAAAACACAACTAATTTAATACCTCAAAATAATTCGCTTCACGTTTTTGTAAATTAGCGCATTGATAAATTCATATCAGTAATACTGGCTTTACATTAACCACTATACAGAAGCGACAAATCACGCAGACATATTTTATCGCAATGCCTGCATATCTTGTTAGGTCACCGCTTTATAATACTAATTAAAATCTAAAATATTCTCAAAATAAATTTGACACAAAAACTAGGCAAACCTTAAATGAATGGCTATTGTTACGTTACGGAATTAACGTACAACAAATAAAACCCAACAGCTAGATTAAAATTCAAACAATTTAATAACAACAAATAAATTCTATACAGTACAATTCAAAATATTGCGATGGTGTACAGAGCCAGCTACTACTTAATCAAAAGTCAGAACTTATCTCTCAGTGGAAATCCTCCAAATCCAGATGAATCCACAATAGATTGTCCAGAAAACCGGGTAACCGCAGAATAATCCAAGATTTATTCCCACGCTGGGTATATATAAGTGCAAGTCCACAAGGCACTATCACTAAATCACTGTACAAGTCCACACTTCAGAGACTGAAGTCTCAAAATAAGCTCACTCAAGGCGTTAAAACTTCAAAAAGGCTCATCAGGGTCAGTTCCATCATATTTATATACATTAAAGGTTTCTAAAGTTCTTTTCTAGATGATTCTAGACTAGCAGGTACCTAGCTTGTTAACATGTGTCTCTAGAAACTTCCGGAAACACCCAGGTAATTCTAATAACCGAACTTTCTAGATTTAGAAACTTCGGGAAACACACAGGTCATTCTAGTAACCGAGCTTTCTAGAAAAATCTGCCTAGCACGATCTACACATATTGTGACAAATAATTATAAGGAGTTTTTTTATGTAAACAACCAATAAGATACAATGCATGTAAACACGGCACATCTGAATTTGGATTAATACACACCATCTATACATAACACTATGTATTCTGTGTTTTATCAAGGTATAGATTACATTAGAAATACGATGGTACGACTCAAAATTCCAAAATGATTTAAGGGCACTAAGGTGTTGGCAGATTATACCTATTTTCGGTGAATATATGATAAATAGGAAAATATAGATTGAAATAGTCCTTCCGAGTACAACCTACAAGATATTTTATACAGCAATCTCAAACATACTGAATGGAATATTAAGCAAATGTGTTAATCTCTTTACAAAAGATAAAAAATGTTTTTAAAATGTTACTCAGATCAAAAACTGTCAAGTAAATAATTGCTATATATGTGTTATCAAACCATATATTTACGGTTAAATATTTATGTGAACTTCTATACCGACAACTCATACAAAGCATTATGTTGTGAAGTTTGTACTATAACATCCCTTCGGTAACAACATTGTTTAACAGATATGAGTCGTGCAGCATAGATCTGGTATGACGGTCAGTTGTGGGAATGTGACAGCCCGATTATTTGACGATCATTTCATAGACGTGTGGCGCTCCTTCCTGTTCATTCGAAAGAGACGTATAATTTGGATCCGGAACGGATGATTCTGTAAGGCAATAAAACGAAATTGACGAGAGTAGGATTTTTATATAGTTAAACAAATGACGTAGAAAATGTTATTAAAAAGATATTTTTGAAGGTGACAGCAAATAATAAATGCCTTATATTATAAATATGTCTGTCTATATATCGAAAAATCGAAATAGTACTTTTGTCTTTACTCATTACCTTTGTCGTTATCTGATGACTTTTTTCTATTTTGGATTATTCTGTAAAGATAGAAAGTTGATAACTGTCAATCAGAGGAAGCAACATCGGAGGTGAATCACGATATCGGGTTTTTCTCTATTTGTTATTGTTATGATATATTGCGTTTCAAGCTTTAAGAATGCAAAAGTATACACAAAACATGACAAAGACATATTTTCTTATTAAACAAAATTACTTTCCCTGCCCGGAAATGTTGCAATGACATTTCAAAAAGCTTAATCCTACCATGTCTCTTTCTTTGCCTTATTCCTAAATATCCTCTATAAATTTACAGGCAATAACCGTTTTTTTCTGTCTTGAAGGCAAATTCTTATCGAATTTTAATTTCCGTAACGTTAAATATCTATTAATGATGGACACTTTAGCTAGTGTACGGAATAGTTTAAAATCAATTTACATTCACATGGTGTTTTATAAAGAGTTATTCCACCTGCTATATGCAAATGTGACTTTTGCTCAGAATAACAACATGTTTGTTTTTAAACATTTAAGCATTAAATAAAAGTAGCGCATTACCCGAAACTGACATTACTTAACGGAACGTTCTCAGAACAAATCTATGATGGTCAATGTGATTATATACACCGAAAAACAATAATTTGACAAATCAACAGTACTGTTCTTCTGTCGTTTGTTAACAATTTTTAGCAAGAATTGTATAACTTTGATAAACGACTGTAATTTTCATGTTGGAAGTTTTGTGGATGACAGCACACTTTACTAATGTTACTTACCGAAGTAGACATATTACCGTTGTGATGAACGCAGCAATCAGTAAACCAATAATGACGGCTTGAACAGCTATTATGATTAGCTTATGATCGGCTGAAATATAACAAAAGAGTCTGTTTGCTATTAAATCAGTACTGATCTTCCCCTCTCTGTTCAGGAAGTAGACATTTATTTCCTAAAACATGCTTCAATTAGTCTTGCTCTCTTACAATTCATGCTTGAAAATGAAATGCTGATGTTAAGGAAATTATCTCGAATATTTCGAAAAGTATATACTTACCAGTGCTGTTACAATGACCGTCGTCTTTGTTACACGTACTGTCAGTGCAAGTGTCCAGACAATCTGCACCACACACAAATCCATACTTTCCCGCACACACAAAAAATACCATGACTTAATCACTTCATAATCTTATCCTTGCAGAATGTCACACTGATAGATATAACATAGATAGTTATGCTGAGTATTGTTTATTTTATTATGCAGTTCTGTTCTAATTTGTTGTGTAAAATTTGCAATGGACTCTCGCCGTGAAAGATATTGTATTAACGTCAAACAGTAGAATTTGCCATCAATTTCTTCTTTTTGTTTATCTTCTAAGACTTACAAATATATGCATAAAACACGTCTCGCTACTTTACCTAAACATTGTCCAGTTTGTTGATCACAAACGAAATTTTTACAAGTCACGGGGCACGTTAAGGCACATGTCGCATCATACTTTCCGATAATGCAATCTACAAGTGAAAAGGAATTATAATTTTAGAACAAATGTATCAACAGTTTTATTTTTTATCAGCCGTCGCTAGTGTCATTATTTATGTTTATGTGTAATATTGTGAATTGCCAGACTTTAAAAAAAATCTTCGAATTTTGAGAATCATAGCATCATCTCGAAGGATTTTTTTTAAAATTCACTTTTGAAATTTTAAAAAGAGGTGATAAGAAACAGGGAAGACACAGGAGTACCAAAGATACCATAATGATCCATAGAAACCTTGTCTCTCGTTGAAGATTGTTAATATTCACTCATATTGCAAAATCGAATTCCTGAGTCAAATATTTAAGAAGTATTCCATTTTTTGTAGCGTAGCATTTTGATGGCGTCAAGTTAATATGTGTCTTATTCCTTATTCAAACAAAAAGTGGGTCTTTTGTATATTTAAAATTTGCTGATCTTTTGTAAACTCTTTTGAAGAACAGAATTAAGTTTCTGTTACATGTTTTGATAAGATCAATCTTGTTTTATCAAAGCAGGCCAGCAATTCGAAAGAGAATGACATGGCATCATCTAGAAACACTTTAACATAATCTAAATTCAAAAATATTTTTAAGGCAAAATAGGTATGGCCGTTTATTTCTAACATGGTTCGTGGTCGCGAACATTGTCTTTTATGTATTCTTTTTTGGTGCTTGATGTTTCCTCACTTCTTGCCTTTGAGCTTAATGTTCATTCAAGTGGAAAAAAAGAAGTCGCTTCTTTTCCAAAGACATACCAAAGAAACTAAATGATATTTTCTGTTATCCGATTGTCGCTGATGGGATGTAAAAAGATTTGTTAATCAGTATAATATGAACGAGAAAGTGTTATGCCACCGCGCCCAGGCTATGATGTTACAGTGTGATGGCACTAAAAAGTGCCCATCAGTGACCACATCATCAATGGAAGCCGTCCCTTTTTGACTGTAGCTATGGCAGAGAATTACAAACAAAATAGCAAACGTTTTCCATCCCCTATCAAAGAATCAAATTCCAGCCGTTTTAAGTTAAAAGATAGCACGTTATCCAGTGTGATACAGATCCCTAGGTAATATTGATATTGGATTCAATAAAGATAGTATCCACCAACACCTCAGACACTTCATAAACCTGTCCTTGTCTTCGACAATATAGTATGCAGACGTATGTTAGCAACCTATTCGTGGTGTAAATATAAGCAAACAATTTATACGTATTCAAGTGAATTGTATGACATTTGAAAAGAATATCATGAATATACGTTTGTCGTTCTCAATTGGTAACCCTGTGTCGTGAGGTCAAGTACAAAACAAAGAAGCAATATCAACTTGCCATAACAATGTCCCGTCTTGCGGATACAAACATTGTCTTTGTTGTGTCATAATTGGCAATGTGACAGTCAAATGGTCAAGATTCAGTTCAAAAGTAAACTTTGAAATAAGCATATCTCCATTCCAACAATGTACAAGGAATCTTTCAATCTTTCAAGAAGTGAACTTGCCTATCATTCTTAAAAACAACTCTCATCTGAGAATTGGTGTAATGTATGCCTTTGGATAGAATTCGTATTAAAAGGTATCTCGTACAATACATTGCAATGCATTGTATATACCATATAATAAAATTAATTTCACTTGTAAAATCTTGTAATATGATATATCATTATATCATATAACGACAATGAAATGACGTCACTAACCCGTCGGAGCATTATGACGTCACAAAAGAATTAATAAAAATAACGTTTACTGCACTATTCAACGGTACATTTTTTATGTCATAAACATAACAGTAGAGGTTCGAATTTGCTTCCCTCCCATTCAAATAAAAATGTCAAATTCTAGATATA